AAAAAAAAAAAAAAAAAAAGAAAAGGTAAAATTAATCAATAGCCATTTGACTTTCATCGATATTCGCAGCCAATAAAACGTTACATGGAGATATATGCAGAAAAAAAAATCTTTTTCTATCTCGTGGAAATCAACATGGTAGTGTTTACTTGTAGGAATTATGATATTTCGCGGTGCAGAATTCAACGTGGAATGAAAAAATAAACCTACAAAAATCACTGCCTGACAAATTCAAGTTTCAGTCATTTCGGATGGAGTGTTATCGTAAAAAATAGTGAATTCGAAAAAAAAAGTTTAAAAAATGACGTATCGCGAGGTACAGAGAATTGATTTCGTTTTAAAATTATTTTTCCTAATAAATCTGACGACTTATCCACAAGCTCCAACGTAAACAAAACCTTAAATCTCCGCAATGAACGAGAGAAAGGGTAAAAAAAATGGCCCAAGTAAGTTCCTAATCCACGAGGAATTCGAGGTATTAGATAACCAACCGGGATATGGTTTATGAAAGGAGACAAAGAAGATACGATGTTATGCGGTTAACTGACAAGAGAAAACGACAGAGGGCAACATAAAAATCTCTATTACTTGGAGCATCTCGTAACTCGTGTCTTTCTATGGTCCAGTGCACGTGGACGATTGTACCCGGCCCCGTAGGATATAACCTAGAAGTTGTCCAAGCGCGTGTGTGCACCCTGTGAAATTTTCGAGTCTAGCCAGTAAATATCGAGTACTTGCCGGAAACATCCCAGACACAGAAATTGTCCAATAAAGTCGAAAGTTACCATGGTACATCGTGAGAATGAACTTTTACCTAGTTCCTAGGTTGGTAACCGTGTATACGTTACGCCAAGGTGAAAAATCCCGGCAGGATTCAATATAGGAAAAATAAGTTACCCATCGTATCACACGGAGCCTGCATCATATTCCCCGAGAATAAGGTATAGAAAAGTCTCTACTCATTTCTACTTCAGCGAATAATATTCCACATTTCCCCACCTCTGGAGTGTGCGATTCTTTATCTGGTTTTCTATGACCTTTTTTTTTCTGAAAAAAAATGTTTTTTTTTTTTTTTTTTTTTTTTTTTTTTTTTTTTTTTTTTTTTTTTTTTTTTTTTTTTTTTTTTTTTTACTACCTTCAATACACCACTGCACTCGGAACCCTCCACGGCAACACCATCGCCCTCCTGGCTCTTTGTTTATTCGACATCGATATTGCTGATGGAGGACGTACCTACTGACTGCGTACCCCCTTCGTGGATAGAAGCCCTACTGTCCTTACTCACCCTTCGCCAAACCATCGAACAGACGTTAGCTACCCTCGTATCGAACCACGTGTGGTTCAGACAGTATTGTATAACATATAGATAAATATATACAGACATTGAACTTCTACCACGTGCCATGTTAGGCTGGGTACTTATTTCTGGAGACGTCCTAGATATTTCGATAATTCGAGAGAACCTAACTTGGTCTTTGTTTAAGATGTATCATATATGAGGTTGAAAGTCCACAAGAGTGTATTCGACATTACTGACCATAGGAGGGTGGAAGGAGAGGGAATGAAATCTATTAACGATTTCATAGACTCACCGTGTTTGATTTTCTTTGAGAAACATCGAATCCAGTGTATTCTATCTGCCTCAGAGTACACGAGTAGAACTCTCCGTTCCTGGTAAGAAACTAAAACTAAAAAGACGATCCTGAAGAGATCCCCAGTTTCCGTGCGGCAGACGCCGAGCAGAGCGAGAGCCAGGCCAGCCAGGAAGGCAGGACTCATCTCCATGCAAATGCATCGGGAGGGAGGGAGTTGAGGGGGGTTAGAAAAGAAAAATAATAACGAAAACGGAGACACTGGCAGTAGCGTTGCTCCCATGGGGGTTGGATTTGTTCAAGGGAGAACTTTTGGTAATCCTCGTCGCGACCTGTATGTACGCGGCTTGAATTTCATAGGGAAGAAAGAAATCGATGAGGATTCAGAAAGGAATCTTTGAACATCGGTATAAATATTCGTCAAATAAAAAGCGGCTTTACATATTTCCAACGTAATATCATACTACAGATTCGATAGCGTGGACATCGATCTGACACTTTTCAAAACTCCCGCGCGACTATATCACAGAAGCAGGTATTGCTATTCTGCGACGCATCATGGGAAATATGTGAAGCGATGCTAACTTTGAATCTTTAAAGCGTATAAACTACAAAATGTGTATCTCTTCGAAATCGCTGGAGCTTTCCGTAAATTTCCCTGAAGCAGTTATCCCGTCTTACAAACAGCACGTTGATAATCGTCGACTGACGGCACCAGCGGCAAAATCGCAATTCGAAAAAAAAGCGACAACGCTAAAATCAAAATTTCGAAGAAAAAATTTTTCCTTCGCTTCTCACAAAGTCACAATACATATATAACTCGAAATTGTGACAATGGAATATAACAAAAAAATGATTAAACATAAAAGCACGTAAATCTCTCATGCCCACAGTCATTCTACAAGCGCATCCTGCAGCAAGATTAAGCACGCCACAGATTCAAGATCGCGATCCAGAATTGTCGCGTAACACATAAAAAAGCAATAAAATGCAAATAAGCCATAAGCGGTTAGGAAGGCAACCAAGGCAATCATAATAGTTTACGATACGTCGTCGAGTCGCGGGATTTACGCCTTTTAAGAGACGGCAAACTTTTTATCACGTATCCATGATCTTGGACCGGGATGTCGCGAGTGAGACTTAGGAAAGCGACTCCTATAATAAATATATACCTATTACACACCTTATATATATTCTTATATATACCTATACACGAGGTCGATCCCGCAATACCCATATCCGAGTATTGTTAAAAAAAAAGACACACAAAGAACAATCGGGAAATAGAAACGTACCAAGTTGCTCGGGAGTTTGGGGTGGGTCTCCACTTTCCCCATCCTCCGCTTTACAGTAGAATCGATTCTCGAATCCGATACAAGTGTTTGTTTTAGAGAAGACGCAATTTCCTCATATCGTATGAACACACACGCTTATACGTGTAATCGCCACGCGACACACGTTATCAGTTCATTTCTCGCGTCACATTACGAACGTAACGACGATCAGAATTAGATATTTTACGGCTTGTAAATCGCCCCCTTCGGTCACTCGCTCGTTTGCCGATGTCCTCCCGGCGAGAGAATCGGCTTTCGTTTGTATTTGCATAACAATAAGAAGTTCGCACGTGTCCCGTCGTGTTTATTGCGCAACACGTTATATAGACGCTTTATACGATTTCATTACCCTCGATGCCCATTGGAACGCTCACTTGCAGTTAACGCTATTTTACGTCCGGAAATATCCCGCCGACGCCATTGCACCACCAACCAACAGCACACCGTACCATATTTCCATATACGTACTTGTATACACGCTACCGCTGTACCGCCGGGGGTACCACACGCCATACTGGCCGTAGTCCTTGTTGCGTTATGTTATGTTACCAACTCGAGTTACATTAACGCGACGATACGTTACTAGCCCCGCGCATTATTACCCAGCGTAATCTACCTAGTCCGTTGTCTCGACCTTTTGCTGCATGCAACCCTCTACGAAAACTGACCTACGTCATGCATACGTTACCACCAATGCATGTGGTTAATGCTTCTAATTTATCTGAAGCTTGTGGAACACGTGTACGGGCACTCAGGGTCGGATGTGTTTCTATCGTCCGAGTGTTAGTTAGCATCTGCAAATGCGCACGTTTCGTCTTCTTGTCCGTTGGCCTCCAAGATTAACAACTGTTATCTCATCTCTTCTCATCCAGTATCTTACAGTGCTCAAGCCGAGTCGCGTCCCTGTTATCTGGCCATACGAATAAGTACGAGCTAAAGTCGTCATAACGGTGAGTAAATCCGCAGGAAACATTGGGGTTATGTATCCACGATATTTCATAGTGTCGACATTACGTCGACGACATTGTCGTTAGAAATTCCTAAGACGGGTTTAAGGATCTCCACGTTCATTTCCTTACGTTTCATATTCCTCGTAATGTCGCTCGTCCCTTTTCACGATATAACAACCGTATTCTGGGTTTTTTTTTTCACTTTTTAACAGAGAACCGAACAAGCTGGAACATGACTGTTCGCCAGTGCCCAGTCGCTCTCATCAATTCTCTACGCTGGCACATTGCAGATTCAGCTGCAGCCGAGTCAAATTATTATAAGATGTCGGACTTGCCGAGCAAGAATAACAGGAGGAATGGGTAACGGTAGGGATTCGGGTTTTTCAATAGGGAAAACTAATAACGCGAAAGGACGGCGTAGAACGAGATATCCTATGGGTTATCGTGTAGGGCGAGTTCTCATCGCGCGAACGACGATCCATAATTCATAGAGAAATCGAGAGCCATATCGCGAATCGAGTCGAATCTCTACGTAAATAATATCCATCGACACCCGCCTCGTACGCCACGGATGAAATGATATATATATAATATATAGTACACACACAACACGTCCTACGTTTAGCATAGCAGCAGAAGGACCCAAGTGCGACGGCCATTCTCGTAAATCTCTGTGGAAGGTTCCCACGTGCGGTTCTAACGGTCTCAAGATCGATCGCTCCATATAACAATTTGAAAATATAACAACTAGAGGGCGACACGTCCAATTACGAGAGTTACCGATGTACACACTTAGAAGGTTAGATTCGCAGCAGCACTTTTCCTTGTAATTTACGTCGCTTCCATCCTTTTTTTCTTATTCCGTTCCCCTCAAGACTTCTTGCAGCTTTCTTACGTCGCGAATTACAAACGTAGCCAGAGCTGTCATCCAGTATGCCTGCATGCCGGGTTTTGTGTATATACACGAGTGCTGCCACAGTCCCGTATTTCTCTCACTTCGTACTCCGATTTCTTGTTCGTCCATTTTGACTGCCTCGTGGAACGTTAATAAAAGCGTGGAGTAAAATATGGAGAGAAATAAGAAGGAAGTCAATATGCCAAGCTAAACTTTCTGCAGGCAGTTCCTCGTGGATCTTTTTCGCACGACGGTACTTTATTCTTATGCGTTGCGGCGGCCACGCGAAACTGAACGAGCAGAAGGTACGACACTTCTCTGTGCCGGTACGATCTACGTGAGTCAAGAAGGCGTAATGACAATTCCAGAATGGCTGTGTACGAGGCCCGTAGTCACTGTGCCTAGACTCTCGGAAAGCGACCAAATAAACTCAGGACAATATTACCAGCATGTTACCGTATATTTACCCAGGCACTCGGCGCACGCTTGGGTACCCTGACGTTCCTGGAATCACGGGAGAAACGAGGATGGCGTCTGCCGGGCGTCCGTATTAGTCGGTAGCTCTTATAGGCGTTCTCTATAGTTTCTACTGGCAAACGCCCGCAGCGAACGTCGAGAATTCGATAGCCAGTCGGAGAGCTCCTGCATTATTTGTTCCAAGACGCTAAGAAGAAACACAACCGTGAGGATACAGGAAACGATACGCGACTAATCTCAGGAAATGATTGTCCACTTAGGAACAGTATTAATTTTTTAACGTGGTCATATGCTATGGATAATTCAGTTCGTTTGACCACAGTCGATCGCGACCAATGAAAAAATGTTGCCATCCCAAAGGGAGAAGGAAACAGAGTACAAATACCGACGGTACGAATAAAATATGCAAAAGTTTTAATGTGATCAGTAGAAACGTGTTGGTATATAAAATGCGAGACTTTTCAATGATATATCTGTATATGCACTTAACTATATCCGCGTACGTATCACAATACTCTCGTATGATCTGGTATAACGAGTAAAGCCACGTATAATTTTCATGCGCCATTCTATCCGACCGCGGAACGAGAACCAGGGAACAACGTTGCGACGCGCAATCCGTCACTCTGCCCGCACCGAATATTACACGCTTCGGCCATTTGCAGAAGCGAACGTAATCAACCGTTAAGCTCCGACTGTTCGTCCAACGGCTCGTTCAAACGGTTCAATTTGTTCTGCGCACCGATAGACGCGTTCTGACTCTCACTCCTTGTTTTCAATTAATATTATTTTGCAAATTTGTCAGCCGTGAATTCCCTTGTTTAACGAGTGAATTCATGACTTTCATACGCAGCTATTCGGACTACCTATAAGCTGGCGCCATTACAGAAGAAAAATTTTTAAAAGACGGACATTATATTAAAGGATATATTTTTGGCTAATTTAATATTATATTGCCAAGTTTAATGATGTTCATTAAAACAAACAAAAAATTGTGGCGGCGCTAACTTTAATACGAAGTTTTGACACAAACAAACTAAAATATGAAAAAAAGTTATAGAACATGGAAATACATTAAATGTAAATTAAAGGCTAACCTAATCTAACGTAACCTAAAAACTTAACGCTTCCAGGGGCGCATCCAGTTTTTGGGCCGTAACTGGATAATGGGTAGGTTACATATAACATCTATGAATTTGCCGCCTGATGTGCGCGTCACGGCATGCGTCACTTGACAGATTGTAATTATTTTATAAACGCAAAGATATGAAACATTTGTTTAATCATTCTTGGGAGGCTGGATTGACGCGCACAATAGGTCTTTAATACCTTGTAGAAATTCCATTACGATGAAAACCCTTGGTGAATTGATACCAGGTTATTTTTGTACGAGAGAAAGAGTGGAAAATAAATAAAATGTTACGCCAAGGGACTCGTGTTCAAGATAGCATTGTAGAAAATTGCTGTTTTCTCTCTGGCATGTCTCCCGGGTATGTAAGCTATGTTACACATACCCGGTAATTCCCTGGAATCATCGTTATCTTACTCTTACTAATGACACAAGCACTGTAAAATAATTCATTCATAACTGTGTCATCGAACAGATTTAATATTGCTACATCTGTACCTTTCTCAATGCATTTCTTTGCATTTATTAGATTCCTAGCACGACGATGTTATTTCTGCTTATTGTCGCAGAATATATATATTATATACAGGTGTTGCCATTTTCTCTGAAACTCGATGCATTTAGCATTGCATTGACCCGATGGCAATTACTTCTCTACTGGCAAAACCTTTTACGACGATATGCTAATGCTTTCCATGTCGACGATCAGTAATGTTACTCACGTTCACGTAACAGTCGTATTCCTCGGGTAACGTTCGTGTCGAGACTTTCTGCTTTTATGTTTAGCTTCGATATACCCATGTATAAATGAACCACGAGCACGATCGGGATACAAGACTTTATCTCACATTGAACATAAAAAATGGACGGTTCTTAGTGAGGTTCATTTCACTGATTTGGGGAAGTTTAGTAATTAACGATGATCGATAAAAATCTTTGAATTAAATAGAAAAAAAAAAGAATCCTTCGAGCCGGATTTGAACCAGCGACCTATGGATGTCTACTCGTGTTCTTTGCCAACTACAGTCCACCGCTCTACCAACTGAGCTATCGAAGGGAATTTGTTATAAATATAGTTATAACGGTCACAACAAATTCACGTAAACATAAAACAATGTTTTATAAATTTGACACTTTCTTACGTTAATCATGACTTTAAGTAACATAATTTTAAATTAACAAATGACATTGTTTGATAATTATATAACATTTGAATCTTAAGTAAGATTTAGTTACATTACGATAATGTGCAACAAGGTTATAAGTGAAAGTCGTAATCCTAGCAGAATGCATGAGGTCAAGTTTATTAACGAAATATCACGTGCCAGTTGTATTTTCTTCTCAAGAACTTTGTAGAAGTGTTCGTTATCATTTACAGTCAAGAATCGCGCGCATACAATCCTTAAAAAAGAAGCAGTCATTTTTATCACATAAGAACCATAAGAACTACCAAAACCGGTGATCAGTCATATCCTAAATCTTATTTGTCATGACGATAAATATTCAAATACCTGATACTGTGCTTTCAACCGGATAATAAAACGCCTATCGCATTAACAGCAAGTTATCTTAAGAGTTTTACCACTGATGCACAAAATTCATTGTAAATAAACATAACAGTACAAGAAAAAACAAAGATGACGCCAGCATACTAGGAATTTCGCAGGTCCTTGTATATTCTTTAAGAGTCACAACGAAATGTCTTACATACAAAGGAGCAGGAATAATAGAAGGATTAAAAGGATTATTCAACGTGAAGTAAACCATGCTATAACCTCAACATTACTTACCCAACGCCGTACAGTGTAGAGAGAGAGAAGAGTCTCTGTATAAAGACTGGACAGCACACGGTTGGTTAACTTCCTTCCAGCTTTAGTAAGAATTCTCCAGACACTTAAAAACTACGTCACCGAGGCCAAACACCACGCAAGGAGACGTTCTTCTGTTTATGCAAAGCACTCATCACCTAGAATCACCAAAGGCGATACTTCACTAAACCTAACCCCAAAGCCTCCTTTTCGCTGATAAGCCGAAAACAGACAGAAACTTCATAGAACGCTTAGAAAAGTGCGAAGTTGCGCCATCGAGCGATACTCCGCTGAGTTATGGGATATGAGAGACTACCGGTATAGAAATATGGCGTGAATATGCGTGAATGGATGCACGCAGCATCTTTTATCAATGAACAAAGGAATTGTGTGTGCGTGACAACGGATGTAGATAAGGTACAGACATTCAATGAGATAAATGAAGTTGATTATACTGTTCCGTCAAAATATTTACCGACGTATGAAAAGCATTGTTGATCACACAGCATGCTCTGAAGGCAAGTGTCAAGATTTAAATTGACAGGTATACTGTCAGTAGAGGAGCGCCAGGACAGCCAATCACTGATACAGCAATACGAAGCCGTATTGTTTTAGTATACTGAAAAATCGGTATTTAGTAATGCTTTGTTAATTGGGAATGATTTCTTTTTGATTTTTTGATAGGATCGACATATGTTTCTGTTATATTTTAGAAAATATGAGGTAACAAGATTTTTTTGTTAATTGTAGATATCTTGCGATGACCGAGTGACGGCCATACTTTTCTGAGAAAGTGTACCAAGTGCCAAAGAATGAGCAACTTCGTAGCACTGGTGTAAACAAATAAGGTGGCAGCTTGTTCGTGTAATCGGGTCGTAGCTAGAAATATGTTTGTTAATTAATGGCTACTCTATCTTATTTTAAAGAATTCATAGTGTAAATGTGAATATTGCTTCGATACTGAGATGCCTGTGCGGTGATTGAGAAGGAATTTATGCAATATATCACTTATTCTTGTTTGGAATTCGTATGGACCACAATTTTTTTTCCTAAGATTTACATGCAAATGCCTAAGTTGCATGAGTTTCGAACTGGTGGACGTTTATAGAATATTGCAGTAGTTGGTGTTTTAAGGAATGATAACCTATATAAATAAAGTATAAGGTAAATATCACAGAATTTTTGATGAAGCTATGTTTTACTAGTATTGAAAACTTGTTATACAACAGTTTGAATTATTGGATAGGATTCGAAGCATGTATAAAAGATGGATGGAAGCATGGAGCAAAACGTAGCTGGAATGGGTCCGTCAAATCAAGCCGGACCCGCCAGAAGAGATATTGAGCCATGGTTTGATACCAGACGCATGGATATAACCCAACATCAACAAATGCAGCCTTCGTACTACAAATTCCAAAATGAAATGGGTAAAACGTGTTGACTATTACATATTTTATTTTTGCTTCTGACAAATAGGATGTTCGTTGCTTGAAAGATATGGAATGTTTTTAGTTCCGGCAGGAACCTTTCCTGAGATGCCAACGGCAGCTCAATGGTGGCGGGATACCTCTGCAATGGGTATCAATCAGCAGCCACCACGACAAACTGAAGGACCTGGGATTGGTGGTTATCAGCTACTAGGTATGTATATTCACTAGATTGTTGAATTGATATAAAGTATATTAATCCCATTTAAATCCATACAGGTCATCCGATAGATCAACAGCCAATAACTGAATTACAACCTCCAGAGCCCACACCGAAGAAGGCTCCAAAGTCAAAGGGACTGAGAAAAATAAAGCCTATCAAAGAGTCAAAGGAGGCAGTTAAACGTACAAAACATCCTGAAAGATGGAAAGTCAATATAAAGAAAAATGCCAGACTACGTGGAGAAGAATATATCGGTGTTGGAGGTAAAATAGTTCCAGCAAAGGTAATGGGACCTCCATGTGATTGTCGTATGCGGTGCAGTGATAAAATAGACGAGGATGCCCGTGAACAATTACACAGTGTCTTTTGGAAGACCTGTACATGGGAGCAGAGGAAACAATATATAGCTCTCTCAGTCAAGGAATCTCCCAAGCAACGCACAAGGTGTCGTGGCAATGTCAAATCTGAGCATCGTAGACAAGTCACCTTTACATATTCCCTATTGATCAAAGGCGAATTTATAACAGTGTGCAAACCAATGTTTCTCAGCACTTTTTCTGTATCAGAAAAATTCGTGCGCCATGCAATGGACAAGAAGAGATCATCTCCTGGTGGCATAATAGGACCTGATCAAAGAGGAAGGCACACACCGAAAACAAAGAAAAGTGAAGTAGTGAAGGATCGCGTCCGTGAGCATATAAAATCTTTTCCCGCTGAAAAAACTAATCCAAAGGATCGTAGCGGTAGGAAATACCTAGACTCGAGTCTAAGTATCGCAGCAATGCACAAACTTTATGTGCAAAAATGTAAAGAGGACGGTGTACCAGAGAGTGATATCGTCAAGGAAAGTTATTATAGAGAGATGTTTAAAACAGAATTCAACCTAGGCTTTAAGGCAGCCGACGATAAAGAAAAGAAACAGCTACAAGGATTTGGTGACAATAGAAATAAATTATGAAGTCCAGATCAGTCGAGTACAAAGTACCACGATATAAATAATAGTACGGTTCGCCAATGTTTAAGCACCGTACACGATACTTTCGCATTTCCAAATCAAATATTACCAAAATAACTGGTAATCGATATTCGGAATCGATGTATCTCCCTTTCACTCACTATTTCTCATTCTCATTACATTCGTATCACATCCAATCTTTATCAATCACACTACGAAATGATTTATTTCCATGTCACAGACTGATACGACAAATTTGTCGCGCCATAAAAAACTGCGATTTGACGCGAAAGAATTTCAATAACGTCGCAGCTACTCGCCTCCTTTTCATAATCAAGGGATATGTAAATATATTGAAAATATGACTTGCCGATAAGATGTCGTTTACATGGCTCATTCTTCAGCATCTGATGACATAAATGCGCGTTATCGTTATCGGTCGAATATCGTGAATTAACAAGTTTCTATGTAATGTTCATTCTTTTACAACGTTTCTACTTAAAAAATGTACATATATAAGTACCTTTTACATTGATCTTAATTATATTTTAATCAGATATCATCGCAGCTACGTATACCCAGTATACGTTATTAAGTTCATCCGAAATCATACGCTGAACACCACGTATACTAACATGCGTAAGAAGACTGCAACGGCAATAGAAGCAATATGCTCGTTCGTTATCTGCAAAACATGACTTTTGTAGCATGATCATTTTAATCATGCAGCACTCTTCTCCATACGCGTTAGACGAAAAAACGCCATACGGTGATAAGAGCGCCGTTCCATTATTCTTTTCTACTTAATCTTTATAAAATATATAATTATTTGCATAGCGACATAAAAAAATCGAACTACTCAGTTGACTACTTGTACAAATAAGAATTTAGTACGAGAAATCCTTAATTCCTCGATATCAGTTTTCGACACTGTGTAACGTTGAGTTTAAGATTTTTCTCGAGACACCTGAATGGGTTTTGGCATTTCATTGCCCGTTACACAGTTATATTATATTTTATTTTGTATTTTAAAATATACGGGGATAAATAAATTCTATTAAAGAAATATATATGTATGTAATTTAGTACACGTCTCTGTCTTGAAAATGAGTAATTAGTCATTTGTCGTAGGTAGAAATTTTATATTTTCTTAGATCCGCTACATCTAACAACAAGTCACTTATCCGCGTCTCGTTAATAATAATAATAACTATAATAATCAATAATACCATCCTAATTAGAAAAAAGGTTGTGTATTTAACGTTTTTCTTTTTTTAAAAGGCGCATAATTTCGACACTCACCTTATCGCACTTATTATTGGTCGAATCTTTGATTAATACTTTAAATTATCCAATTTCAGTTGCGTGAATCGTTATGTCAAATCCACACAGAATTTCTTTATTTTCTTGTGGATCCAACACGAGAGCTTTACATGCTATCAATACATTTACTTGATCCAAGTACTTTGTTTTACATTGGAAGATCCGTTTAAATAAATAGCTGTTGATTCGCGATTTCTTTATTAGTACTATGGCGCTTACTTGAAATATTACGCGTGACGGTCGTCGTGTTAAGATTATGATTTAAGAGAAAAAAATTGAATAAAATAATATGAACTGAATATAGTTCCACAACAATAAGGATAGTAGGCATTTAAACGTAAATCTTTTTACAAATCTATCAATTACAGTTCCACATGCCATTCTTGCCGTTCATTTTTACCTATGGCCTGATCTAATTAATATATTCACATGTTGCTCGGTCTATATTTTTCTTTTTCAAATTTATAGAAAATCTCCAAAAAAGTGAAATAATTGAAAACGCCAAGGATCTATTTTTGTTCTATAACTACCAACCAATAAATTTTTACGAAGACAACAATGTAAGTATTTTAAGTGTATGCATCAATTTTGATTTTCCTTACGTTTTTCTTTTAAGATAAAGCAAAAGGTAACGCTTTTATATCATGTAAATGCACGAATTAGTAAGCAGATTTAATATTTTGAACTGGGATCGTTCTTGTGCACTAGAAATACATAATTCTGAACTGAAGTAGTGGACATTCGGAATCATTTAAAACTCTATTAGCTTCTTGTCGAATTCTTTATCAGTATTCGTGTTCGAACCTTTATTTAAATAATTACAAAAGATGCATGATGCACATCCACGGCCTTTTTTCGTTGAATTCATCACGGTTTAAGTAATATTGAATTTGCTTGTGACAGAAAAATAAATTTTTCGCTGAATTTTAGTACCTCATTCGAAACATTGTTCTTATACTTTCTGTAAGAACAGTGATTCAAGAGTTCTATTCCAAGATAGTGACGTTGTTCTTTACTCTTCGACGTGCAACAACTACAACATGCCTTTTACCTATGCTCGAATCTCTTTGTCTTATATAAACAAACAAAAAACAAATATAATGTATTGTGTACACTTTGACTTATGCCTGATTCTACGTTGTTTTGACAGCGATACGATTAAGCAAAGTGACAATCCTTTTGTGTCCGAAAATAAAATCTAGCAATACTTTAGACATACGAGAGTATCCAAAGGAAATAATTTCTATTTGACCTGGAACCCTGTGCAATTTGCATTTATTGAAGTTGAGTCATTATTAACAATAGTGTTCTCTTCGATTAGAATTAGAATAATTTAAAACGATAGAACACGTCTGTAGAAACTCTATTAGAAAAATGCAAAGCAGAATGCGCAATTAATAAATATTAAATTTCAATAATTATTTAACCATTGCACAAAAGCATTTTAAAGAATTACTTACAACAAAGCCACTAGAGTTCCAGATCAACGCATTCTATGAAAATAACCTAGATATGTATTTGTAGACTATAAAATTGTCATTTCACAAAGACGGACATATTCTCGAGCAAGGGATTAATCTGACGTCATGTCTACAAATAGGCAGTTTTTTTATTGAGACCTATTCACTGTTCGGGATAGGACAGTGGTGTATCGCAAATTTCGAGATGGAAGAAATGAATGGGGAAAATTAAAGTCCGAAGTTAAACAGCGCTTAGACGCCTTTGCTTTTTCAACCTCATCTACGATTTTCGTAGTCACCAAATTGAAAACGGACTGCTGACTTAATCTATTTTGACCGTGGAGTATATCTTGCGCACGAAAGCATTCGTACCAATATATCCTATCGTACCGCACATGATGCCTAAAGCTAAACTGAACAGCGCCATGTAGCCAAAGTAGAATGCAGTTTGGAATAAACCGTACATCCTGAAAAGAAATTAATTGAATATTACAAGAAACATCCTAGTGCATCCTGTACTGATTGTAAAGCTGAGAACAATGCAGGACACATATGAAAACGAATTGATAACTTACTTTGTTTTGAAGAAGAAATAATAAAAGGAATACATGTAAACGTAGCCCGCAGTCGAGCCAGCTGCCAAGAAGCTCGTCCATTGCCTGTATTGTAATATCAATATTATTAATAACAGAGTTAATCTATCTCTAGAACTATCAGATTTATCACTAAATGTGACAAGAAAATTAATTATAGGAATTGGTAATTACCATCGGTAGTCCTCAGCATTGAGAAGGAAGTATGTGCAGACAATTGTGACGCAGACAGTCACAATCATCAAAATAACAAATACCAATAGCATGAATCCATAAACGTAGTAAATTTTATACGCCCAGAAGGATGTGAAGACGAAGTACCTATAATAGCATATTAAATCTTTATATGATAATCTGTAAAAACGAGCGTATCTCAATTCTTTTATAGATTCTTACATTTCAATGAAGATCGATCCAAAGGGCAATATACCACCTAGCATGATAATCACAAGTGGTTCCATAAACCATTTCTTTTCAGGAATAGGCCTTGGTACAGCGTTTACTCTACAAGGAGCGTCTGGGGTCCCTGCCAGATTACGTCCAAGAATAGTTCCTACCAGTGTCAGTGGTAAAATCACAAATATGCAAATACACGTCACTGCCACCTATTAAAGTTAATATATCAAACTGTTAATACCTAGTACCAATATGGAGTAATAGTAACTTGAAATTTAGGTACAAATTGAAATAACTTACCATAGAACTAAAAGGAATGGCACGACTAGCATGATAATACATGGCGATGAAATTTATGAAGAACGCTGTGCCACAAACCATTACTGGCAGCATAAAAGCACTGACTATCATTTGTTTTATCCATATTCGTCCACCCATTCTGGCATACAGTCCACCTCCTGCATAACCATTTATTGGGGACGTCGCTGCATAGACAAAAATCGCAGTGGACAGCATTGAGCCACGTTCTGTGTAGAGCTCCCCAAGTATGGCGAATATAATCACACTTAATACGACGACGGTGACCTGGATAAATGCACAGGAATAGGAAATTATGTTTAGTGGAATAATGATTCACGGTGATCAGAGAACCAACCTGGTAACCAGCACCAATGAGAGCTGAGAATATCATGGGATGACTCGCCGGTCTAAAAACATCTCCGTGAACTTGTTTCCAGCCATATTCATCCCCTAGATCTCTCTCCATGTCATCCATTTCTTCGTCCCTGCTATATCTTGCATAATCCTTTCTCAACGTGCGCATCAAAATCATTGACACAAGACCAACCAGGAAGATAACCATCATAAAGCTATTGAAAATGCTGAACCAATGTATCTGTAAATGTTAATGTTTGTAGTGATTGAAATGTTTGAACTTATAAGCTATAAGGCATGAGGAATTATGAAATATATAAGGGTGTTACTTACTCTATGTTGGAAGAAATTTGGATCAAGGTATTTGTCAAATCTATCTTCAAATTTAACGCTACTCTGCTTCCAGTTGACTTCGTAGCTGAATGGGATGTGCACCCCTTGCACAAGTTTTACTTTATTTTCACTGGTTAGATTCACATCTACTATTTGTTTACCATTGTATCCTATATCTAATTTCTTGTGCGTCCAAATGTAATACGACACAACTCCATTATTTTCTTCTGGTTCTCCAACTACCCCTATATTTACAAAATTGTATGAGAACATTAATTTTTCAAAATTTTATAAGACTGAAATAATCATTTATAGTTATCTTTCATATTGATTTCAATGGATATATAATTACTGATAAGACAACATGTTTAAAAAAACATTGGGCCTGTGAGAAACCTTGGCCATCATGTTGAAAAAAGAAAGACTTACCCCAAATAGGTAAATCATCAATGTACATCTGATACCAATACTGATTTTTCACGGCATAAACAAAAGCCTTTTGACTCTCCTCAGTTAGCTCAATTTCACAGTACTCTGTTTTTGAGATGTCCGCTAAAATTTCAAACGATCACCTCAGTTAGTACATTCAATTCCAAAAGAATAATTATGCAGAGTAGATACAGAGTATTCATAAATATATCATAGGGTAATAAGGACCTTTGAATTCGATATCTAATCCACTGAACTTCAGTTCTATACCCTGTAGAGCCTCGGAAAGTGTTTCATGATAATGACTGATCACTTTCCTAGTATCAATGCAAAATGGCAAAGAGTAATAGGAATAGGTCTCCTGCCTGTTGTGATAAGGTCCAACTGTACTCATCCATAGTACAACTTCTTCGTTGTCCTCGTACTGTCAATGAAAAATTCTTACTTTCTCACGTGTTAACAACTATCTCATCCTAATTAGGAAATACGTTGAATAGATAAAAAAACACACATGATTTCATATGTTGCAGATAATATAGCTCATTAATTTAAAAAAATATATATCGCAACGAGTTCTAACATACGATTCGAAATCGTATGATAGCTAGACGTCCAAGAAGGAAACTTTGACATTTCAAAAAGGATGTCACCAACACTGGGTTTACTTACAACGTGACTGTGTTCGTCGGTGCGAACCAGAGTGAGAAGACCGACTACCAGAAAGCCAAAGATCAGTCGAAACCGACACATGTTTTTCGTTGTCGGAATGCGCTCACGGCGCTTTAGACACATACAGTCACTAAACTCCGAAAAAACACACGGGGAAGACACCCCATAGATACGCAAAATAGCATCAACGTCGCGGAAATACGGACCGGACACGTACACGGGACCCGCTTCAAGGATTTTTGTTTATTGCCACGTCAGATGGCTCTTCCGTCGGCAGCAACAGCCATATTGGAACCGGCGAATTTTACTAAAACGGAAGGTGTCTTTTTTCCCTACCATTAAAAACGTGCGAGACGGGTTTTTATTCACACATTTTATTGGAACCTTGGAATTCATACACTGGTCTTGAACTTCACTATTATTTAAATTGGAACATGATGTTATAATGGTCGTATTATTATATCGGGACGCCCCCTGTTATAAGAAATTAAAAATAAGATTTTTATCACGATATCTACGTTATCGACTATTAGAATGGTAAATCTTCAACAAAAGGTTTGAATCTGAGACTGCATGTTGCTAGAACAACAGAAAACATTTTTAAGATGGTTTGTTATCGCTAAATTTCCAGGATTGTAATTAATCAAGGTAATGTCGATAAGCATTTTGATAATTTAAACGCAACTTTTCTTGGGCAATGTGACGAATCGTTATCGATGACTATCCAGAGAGTGATAAAGGTTTATAAAGTTGATAAGCTTTCAATAAATCATCAGTATGGCATCGTGTGGCTTCTTACTAAACACACGTAAAATTTCGGATAGCCAATCAGAAAACAGGCAATGTTTGCCCTTTTGCTCTGTTTGATTTCAGTAACCCGTCAAGTATTAGGGAAAGTGACCAGTACTATATTTTTCATAGCGCGCATTGAAACAATGGACACCCCATCAGACGAGAAACAAACAATAGAGGTAAGCCTACTAGAGACAATTGATCATTCTATTTGGAACGTAACATTTTTATCATTCTAAATAATTGGTTGATCGTACGAAATTAGGATATCCCCATTTCTACTTTAAAAACATTCAATATGATTATTAATACTATGACCTTGAACAGGTAGTATAATCTATTGAAAAAATAGTTAGATTAGTAGGACAGATTAGAATGCAAATCAGTTGACGAGTTATACTCGAAGGAGTAACCACATCTGATTTCGTAGTACGTGACGTTCGTCCGATAAATAGCGTTAAAATCATTGAGGACGAAGCCAAAAAAACGGTTTAGATTTAAATATAATTTTGTGACTCTGAATAAGACGGAAAATTAACAATGTGACTTTTCTTAGACAGAAATAAAATGTCTAAACGTAAATTAGAAGAGAGCAATCTTATCGAGGTAAATTACTGTACACGGTCTGACGGATATTTTATGTTAAAAAAATCTACAATCCACTCAGTTATCAACGAAGGTCTCAAAAAAAGATTAACTACTTTTTTATTTAAGTGATTTTGTAATTAAATCCTAACCCACAAGGACACGAACTAATCGATGATTTATCATGATTTGATAGCAGTGACTTTCAAGCAGAACTATAACATTCTGGACCGAAGTTCGCACGGATAACAAAAATATAATAATGAGTTACATCTTGGCTTATTCATTAAATTACATTAAATTACGAGGTATTCTTTCCATTGGTCAGCAATGATGTAATCATTCCTAATCGTACATATTATTAAGTAGCTGAGCAGAGTCTCGCGCCAAGTATAATCTTTCACGTGGCTGGCAATTCGTGAATCACTCGCACTTGAGACGTCGTAGTGTTCGACAAAAGTATCCCTGTCGATAAAAAACTTACTGGGTACTTATCAAATTAACCGATATTTTTTCCTCTTGTATTTCCGTCGTGTTATCGACACAAAGGAAGTTTGCGGAATCGTCGACTTCCTGTCTCGTTTTTTTCTACGATCTTCTTGTTATGATCGCAAAGTCAATCTCTCGTAGTCAGTCTATTCGATCCCCTGAGAGGAAAAGGAACTTCTTTCAGATGTCCAACAACGATACGATTCCAGAACCTATAATTTCGACGTCGAGTACAGTCCAAGAGAAACGTCGTCGACGGGTTTGTGATGTCATCGACAGCATTGGAGACCGTGAAATCATCACGAATCATCCTGGTTTCTCTACTCCCCGACGAAATAAACCTACGGAACTCGATATCCTGGTGCGATTAATTATCAACACAGCCTCCTTACCTGGTTTAAAACAATTTTTCGACTTATTGAAACAAAGTTTCTTTGGTGTCTTTTGAACGTCAGGATGTCTTGCATGATCGTGTAGGTCCTGATGGTAGAAAATAATATTTTCCCCTAATTTAATATATCTTGTATTGTTACTTGTTTTTGATTAAGAAAAACTAAACTTTCTTAATGAGTATATTGTTTTAATTTAATTTTTTATTTATATTTGTTAACAGATATCTCCTGATCAAGGTTATGTAGCTACGCCAGAGTCGGCGGATATCTTTGTACCGGATTGGATGCTAAAACGTTCAGATGTTATAGATGCCTCTCCTCAAGAAGCAAATTTCATCCTTTCTGAAGAATTGAATGAAAGGTAAGCGGCTATTTTGAATTGTCAGATATCTTGCCACTCATTGTCAGATATCTTTATGTATCCTTGTTCCGTTTGTATTGTCTAGATCTACTAGCGGTGGTATTGTAGCGGTAATGCCAGTTATGATAGATGCAGAGTGTTACAATACAAATCATAAAAACAGAGGAAAGTGTTTAGTCTTCAATCATGAAATGTTCGACACGGGTTTCGAGAAGAGAGAAGGCTCCAGCGTCGATGCCAAGAGAATTCAGAAAACTTTCACGAATCTTGGCTTCGAAGTTGACGTTTTCGATAATTACAAGCACAGCGAAGTTATCGACAGAGTGGAGAAGCGTAAGATTTTTATTGAACCGTCAGTCTCCCAGAAAATAAAACGAAAATTGATTTTGATAAAGTATTTTAAAATCTGTTATTTCCTTTAGTAAGCCAAGAGAATCATTCCGATAACGATTGCTTGTGCATCTTCATATTGACACATGGACTGAACAATGACCTCATCTTGGCTAAGGATGTTGCATATAAATCCGATAGTATTTGGAAACCATTTACAGCCGACAATTGTCCAACCCTTGCTGGAAAGCCAAAACTATTTTTCTTTCAGGTAACAAATGATTCTGATAATATGAAAAACTAAATCTGCAACTATACCGATGCTTCTTATTGCCAGGCTTGTAGAGGCGATAAACTTGATGCCGGAGTGACACTGAAGCCGCGGACATTATCAGCCACGGAGACAGACGGCGGTGTAGCATCTTATAAAATTCCAACGCATGCAGACTTTCTCATAGCTCACAGTTCAGCAGACGGTGAGAGACAAGTCAATAATTTATATATATATTCGTTCCATATTTCGCATGTGTAAAGATAAGTCTTGATATTTCATATAAAACCCATTCTAACCATGATAATCGTATAGGTTTTTACTCATGGAGAAATCCAGCGGAAGGCACCTGGTACGTCCAGTCTCTATGCGACGTACTGGATACATACTCCAGCACTACCGATTTGCTCAAAATGTTAACGATAACCGCACGTAAGGTCGCGACGGAATATCGAAGTTACAACGACCTCAATCCAGCTGGGGATGATCAGAGGCAAGTCCCCTCATTGACATCCATGTTAATTAGAGATCTTTATCTTATGCCAAAATAGCAAGTAGGACATCGAGAGGATTGGAATATTTGCTAAAAGTGTATTGAACGGAGAATGGATATAATCAAGTGTGTGATAACATTCATAATAGGTATCCGGAAGCGTGGATAAATTGATTGAGTTACCAGACGGTCTCTTAAAGGGACAAACTGGATTCTCGAAACTAGCCAAATATCAAAGCGATTCAGTCATTGAATAGAAAGCAGTAGGGATAGTATTTTTACTGTACGATGAAAAGTGATATCGGTTGATACCTTTATACTTAACCTTTCAGGACATGAATATTAATTTATACGTTTAAGTTAATTACGTATAAGTACAAATTAGAATTTTCAGCGCTATCCATTAGTCTTGACAATAGGAAGTCTGTTGTACAGAGTCATGATGTGTTATCGTTAATTATTTGTTTTTCTATTAATTTTGTACATTATATGCCAAAAGGCTCTGTTAACTAAGATCAGTCATTAGCTATTAAACGATTAAAATAAGGTAGTATGTAATTTTTATATTTCTCGTGATTGCTTTACCAAGTCATTCGATTATCCTGTTAATTTCTTATCGTATAATTTGACCATCTAGAAACAGAATCCGAATTGGATGTGAAAGCCACTGACAATTACAAGGTACCTGATAGTGCCTTATCGTCGAATTTATCGAAGTTCTTGGTTCTCCAAGTTTCCGCATGAATGAGAGGGCCACGACTGAAACCTAAAATGGATAAAGTTTCTTGTTAGTGCCCGGCGAAGGAGCGTTGCATAGTTTTTTTTCAGAACTCATTTTGCATCGGGCCAGTTTTAACAACTGGAAACACGTATGCATCGTCAGACTAATGAAAATTTATGCGTTAATTAAAAGCTAAGTGAGATTTGCGCTTGCCTCAAATCCCTTCTCTACTTCAATTCTCTGTATCTGCCTTTGTGCATGCTTTGTTAATATTTTTCTTTTTTCATTCCCCTCCGTATGTCACTTCGTTACTGTTTTGCATTTCTTTTTTTGTCCTCAATTTTATTTGTTTTTGTATAAAAAATTTTCTGTATAAAAAAGCTATACCGTCTCGTATATCCGTCCTCTCTCGTTTTCATTTTTGTGCGTGGCGTTTCATCGCTCTCCGTCTTTCTCCCCCATCTTTATTATCTCCTTGTATTTTATCGTATATCGTAACATACACAGTATACGGGGTAGAGGATATCCGGAAGATTTACATATACATATAAATTTGCCACCTTACATTCTCGTTTTCGTTAAAGAACCCAAAAGCGGGGACGCAAAGCAGCAAATTGTGCCTTCGTGCTTACGGCAACTCAATTTGTTCTCCTGTATCGTGATAACGGTATTTTGGAGCCATCTCATAAATCATGCCAAGTCTGCAGAGCCTTATTTGCCTATGTATTCACTTGGAACTTGCATCGTGTTACGTTTTCTATTATACTGCCACACGAACGACATGGGTCCCACATGCCGTGAAAAGGCGTAGTACTTGAAAAGTGTTAAACGTGTAAACGATTACTCTTGTTACCCAGTACTATTTATCTTGTAGCCAGTGATAATTTAAAATTCTTCAAAACCTATAGAGTATCGATAGTATTTACACCAGTGTTGACTAGCACAAAGACTGTCTTAGGCGTGGAAGATAGCCGTTCACAAATATTACTCTTTCATCCTGTAAGAATAAAGCTACAACTTGAAATCGATCGAGGGTCCCGGGAAAGCTTTAAAAAACGTACCTGACCTACGATAAAAAAAAAGTCTCAACCCGACGATGGACTTGAGCGCTGGCAAGAAGGCTTTGCTGAAAGAGAATTAAATCCAGTCTACAGGATCATTCAAAATATACTTTAAGAGAACGAAACATACGTATACCGTGTACCGAAGTCGGCTGCTGACAACAGTATTCCTATGTTTTGATTCCCCAATAGTTCGTTGTAATAAGGGCCTCGTTCAGCTCGATCCTGGTCTTTGATTACCAAGGAATGAGCAGGACAAGTATCGGCACTCTCTTTTCATTGACCCTCCAAGGAAGACGTTTATCCATGGAATCCCTTTAGTTCTCCTTCCCCAGTTATACAGCAGGCCCTTTGCTCCTCTGGAAAGATCTTCTTCACCACGTATCCACTTATCCTCCTCTCCCGGGCAGATAACAGATAGGACAGAACCCCTGTGACGTCCTCATTTCCTATCGATTGATCTCTATCCTCATTCGACCAGTTTTCCTTTACATATAATCGATCAAAAAAGTAGCACCAGGTCCCTGGGGGTGAGCGAGCGATTTTCCACGAGGTCCCTGAAGATGAGATGGGGGCGTGCTAAGGTTTTTCTTGCTGATGCTAATCCGGCTCAGATTCTGATGAAAGAATGGATGGATGAAGCGCACAGGGTTGCACCGGCTGTTATTCGTGACAGCCAGGGTGCTAAGAGAGTTCAGCACGTCTCCCAGGTTCAAAAATGTAGAGAGAGAGTGGACCGACCAACTGGTTGAAGAGGCAGAGTGATATAAAGAGAATGTTGGAGCAACGGAGAGACAATAAGGCAGCAAAGTAGAAGGCGAGAGCGAGGGAGAGTCGAGGGAGAGAATATCGGAGAGAATGAGTGAGTTGTGGAGGGAGCCTTGGAGTTAGAGGCAGGAGTTTGCGCGGACAGATCAATACGCCAACCCCCTGCACGTGGATCTCTCGCCCCTAGAGGTGGTCCAGAAGCGAACTGGATGCTGATTCCAGAATTCAGTTGTACGCCTGCCGCCTTTCGCATCTCTGGCACGCGAATTCTCGGCCACGGCCACCCACGTTATTCCGAGATCTCCTCTCGCTTTTCTCATCCTTGAAAAAATACCTCCTGCTTCTACTTTGTCCATCCGATAGAAGCGAACAATATTGTTCATCTCGAGGACGGTATGTGCATCGCTGAGGTTACGTGAATTCCGGTTGTACTCAACATCCGAGAGCAGGTGAGTTTCTTATCTTTCCAAGGGCGTAAAAGCTTTAGGTATCTGCTGCCTTCGGGCTTTGGAATCCGAATCATTCCCAGCTACGGAAGAAAGATTTTCACCGTATTTTATCGATTTCAAGTTTTATCTGTTTATGTATATCTATAAGTATCTTACCGAGAAATATTGTTCACTGGATTTTTTTTCAAGGTAGATTGTTACCTGGACGATTAACTTTGAAGCGTCTATGCAATATCTGTTATCCATATGGTAAGCTGTCTCGTGTCACTGATAAACTCAACGGGGCTGATGCATTGGTATCCTGAAAGTATCATAAAGAATCCTATGAGTAACAGCGTGAAGATTGAATTTTACATTTTATCAAGATCCTATTGAGAATAAAGAGCCATCCCGCGAGAAAGATTTATTAGTGTCTGGTGAGAATCGTGAAAAATGTTTTACGCATTTATATACTGGTATAAAATTTCAATTTATAAATAGCAATATGCACTTCCCTTAGTAGTTTATTCTGATTGATATATATATATTTGCCATATACTCTCTCTTTCTCTTTCGTGTAATTTACCTCATAACGCCCACGTATCTAACTACTTACTCCTTTCACTTTAATGGACCCACAGGGAGTACAAGGAAAAATTTTCACACAAAAGATTTTCCCAGAGGTTTACAGAGCCTGGAATATTTTCAATTTTTACATATTTGCCTCTGCGTGATACGAATAAAAATAGAGCATTGCTTTCCTACGTCAAAGTTTTGCCATACAAAAAATCTTATTATATAAGGGTGCACGAGGAAAACTGATTTCCAACTAGGAAAATTACCTATGTAAGCAGAACACAAAGGGTGATGCCCGGGATAGGCTGGATTCTGCCTATGATGCAGGGGTGCATCTTGTGCAAGGATGCGACAAAGATATGCACTTATCCCTGTTTGATATAGAAGGGAGATGCGTAACAAACCCCATACTCCTAGAGTCCCCCCCGTATCTCCTTTCAACTGTTTTTGCCCACATTGATCGTTAACTACCCCATACGACTACCGGACACAAAACAACGACATAACCAAGCATGAATATTCAAGGATTGGAGGAAGGTATTCGAACGGATCAGAAGTATTTTTTTAAGTCAGCAACAATGCATGGGGTAGGTTTAACATTTTCAAGAATATCTGTCGCATCAGATATTGGGTTTGAGAAGGAAAAAAATATATTTTTATCCGGTTGAGAGGCTTGAGACGTGTGTGTATTGTTTCTGTTTTTATACTCGACTGACGAGGAATTTTTATATAGTTATATAGTAACTGCTTCCTCCTGGGGTTCAATTCATATAGAGTTACTCAAGAGTATTGCTCCATCTGAAGGTAGTTCTACCATGAAATTCAAATGGACGAGCTAACTTCAGTTCGTACACTAATTCCGAATAAAACTGTAGATGAATCCTGACGTGATAAGTACTTTTATATATAACGTATTCAGCTACAAAAATTACCGAGCACTCCTTGAACTTTACAATACTTCCAATCGAGTCGTGACCTAACCTATGACGCGACCAAAATCTAGGACACTAGTAAAATTTTAATTCCTGATCGTAATTAGCTGTTTCCTTGCATAGAACTGAGAAGTGGTACAATCGAGCCAAAAAGTTGACTAAGAATAGAATATTATAGAAATTTAAAATCACTTCGAAGTAATTTCAATCAAATCACACACCTTTGATTGTCAGTTATACGTGACACTGCGTGAGTCAATATAGTGATTCAGTAAATATGAGGGTTTCAATAATTATAGGTCTATACCTACCTATTGTATTCGAATCAATATAATCGGCGTCAATTAACTCGTATAGGTCGACAAACGTAGACAAATATCTATATAGAAATGGTGTATACATACTTCTGCATAAATTAATTAAATTATAATGGGCCAATGATTACATTGCTTTTTTCGTATTTTCTCGGATTCCCTTTCTGCCGGCTTTCCCGTTCCACTCTATGGCAATCGAAATCTTCTTTGTAATTACACCTTCGGTCTTGTTGTCTGAAACAACGATTTTCTAGTTTCAGTTCGGTCTCCGGGTCTCTGTCATTTTTTTATTCTTTTTTTTTTCCTTTTATCTGTGAAACGACTGTCACAGATGTCGGGCAGTTCTAAAGCTTGCATTACACAGGCTGCGCGTTGTCCACACATGCATTGTAAAATGTATGTGCGTAAATATGATATTTACGTACGTATTTATACACGTGCTTTGATATGTACAAACTCGATATGCTAGACTTTGATTTCGCTCGAGCGTACAACTCGTGAAATTGATGTCTGGCATTTTGTTGGCAAGGGTCATAGCCGCTGGCTTCGAGCAGCCGCCATTATTGCACTAAAGCATCCATTATATCCTGGCAGATATTCGCAAAGACTTCTTTCGCACTGTTATTCACTATTTTCCCGTGGATTATCCATACTCGAATATTTGGCGAATGAGTAACAGGAAATTTAGAAGCTACAGATTTTTCATCTCGTTTTCGTATTGCCTGACTCATTGAGGGACAATAACGTATGGTCATGTATGGGCTTGTTTAATAAGAAACGATTTAATAAAATTCTTTTTCGGTATTCCTAGGCTTTTTTATGAAAGCTTTTTCAAGGGCTACTCCAGCAGCTCTTATTGGCATCAGCTATACATTTTGTTTTACAACATGGCGAAGGATATTTTTCAATGGACGACCGAGGCCTACAATAAAATAGAAAGAAAAAATAAAATAACATTTTGTTACTCGTAAACATCGAAATATAGTATTTACTACGCGAGCCCTACTTCAAATCCTTTGAAAAAGTGTCCGCTCAAATAAACAAAGAGGAAACGAGGTGACGGCCAATCGTTCTCCTTTTCTAATGCTCCTATTGGCTACTTTCTCTATACTTTTGTACTACGACTGCTGATTAGAAAGAGACAGAGCTTGGCCGCCACCAGTCGCTATCTTTTTCTTTCAGCCAACTATTTTCCTATGCCTATGCGTAGTCCATACTATACGTTGACGCCCGTTAATATTTTCTGTGTTCGTGAATTTTCATGAAAACTTAAGAAAGGGGAAACTTTTAAAAATCTCGTAAACACGTGTACGGTTTAAGGATTGTGTTAATGTGATATTTCAATATTACTTTATTGCCATTATGCAGGAAGAAATTCCTAATAAAGGGATAATAATAAAGGAAACACTATTGAAAAAATCTAATACCGATAAACTTTTGTATGAGAATTTTATTGTCATCTTTGATATTAACGTACGTTGCGTAATTCGTTAACGCGAAAGAAATATCTGTTAGATCGAGAACGAAGATGGATGAAAAGTGTTATGAGGAAAGGCTGAGAAGTGAAAAGCAGCCAGGTTGAAAAATTGGGGTTGTAGCACTAAGGTAAACGATTTTCCATGCGATTATCGTAAAACATGTAGATCCTATGTGTAGCATAACGGAGCATGAAAAGTGGGATAAAAAAGTTCGGTAATAATCGTAAAAGAAATAGGATAGAAAAAAAAGGGAAGGTCAACATATAAGGCATAGCGAGTAAAGCACAAATAGTCTTAAGCTGCGCGGTTTCGCGAATGTTGCGATATAGTCAAATTTTATAAAACCGTATAGAAAACATTCTATGCAACATAAAAAATTCAGAGAAAAATGAAAAAAAAATTATATCTAAATACCTAAATCTCTGCGTTTCTTTAAATATTCCGAGTTAGAGCGTCCACGTCGCTCATTAACAAAACTCACTTTGTCTTTCGTAGACTGACAATGAAATACCAACCTAACCTGTACTCACTTTTGGCTGCTACCAACCTGAGTTCCGGAAACCTGGAACTGCCAGACTAATCCCCCATGGTCCTTATTCCAGTGTGTTTCTTCCTCTCTGTAGAATTATACGCTTCTATAAATATCTCGTGTTACAAAAAAAAAAGAAAAAATTACTTACATAAGTTTAGTCTGCCGCAAAGAATTCATGTCTTCTTGCTTCTATTCAGTCTTTATAATTCATAGAAGTGAAATATGTCAACCCAGTGTACATCATGGACGCTCATCGAAGTCTTTCGTTTACAGAAATTCATAGAGGGTAACGAGAAGAATGGGGGTGTACGTGGCAGGGGTTGCCGGTGTAGTAGTCTTTTACGCCGCCGTGCTTGGTGTAGGCGTCTGGGCTGCCGCCGTCAAGAGAAGAAAGATCAGACAGGGCCAGGATGATATGCTTTTGGCGAATCGCGGTATTGGCCTCTTCCTCGGGGTCTTCACTCTGGTCGGTAAGTAATGCTTTTATATGAATTATATTGTACCAGCTGCTTAATTGTGAGGAATTCATACAATTCATCTTAAGTAGAGCTTGAGTAAAACCGGTTGAGGATTATTGAATAATCCACGGTATAACTGCTACAAGAGAATTACTATTGTAAGTTGGTATGTGCATAACCGTGTACTAATTATTAATTCGTCTTAATTGGCGAGCAGTGCAGGTAGTTGTTAATTAACGAATTGGTGCTTGCAACTTGGTACAATCCGGAAACAATGACCTCGGTCTTTCCGTTTTGAGTCTTTGGGGGTTATGTATCTAGATTTCCCTGGTGACTATGGGGATACGGGGACTACAGACGACCGGAGAATAAAGTTCAAGCTTTGAAATCCACGGACATTATTCACTGTTTGATTTCACTCGTACCTTGAGACTCGTTCTCCGTGTTCTGAATGCCTGAATGAATAGTATTTTGTAGACGACCATCGTTATTAATGTATTGCTTTTTTGTTCTTATAATCTTAATACGCATATCTGTGTTGCTTTGAACCTAATGGGCATATTAATTATGCGTAATATAACGAATAATTTGTCTCTGAAAATTCAGCGTTTTCGTATTAGCTCGACTGACTGTAAAATCAACGCGCGGTCTTTGTGTCGGCCATTACCGTAATGAATGTGACCAGAAGCTTACAAGCCATTGGTTGGACGTAACGCTCCATAGATGGTGTTGGGTCATATAGGTGTGCACCTGGGAAGGAAAGAGAGGCAGAGACAGAAAACGGATTGGTGATGTGAGAGTGAATAAAAAAGCCTATTTTCATCGTTTATTCACATTTCAGCTGCATTCAGGCGGCGTTCATTGGGCATTCAAACATTCAAACACTCAAACACTGAACTCCGACTATGGCGCGGATTGCGTGTGTAAAAGGGTCTGTGTTTCATTCAAGCGTCGAATGCGGGACTAGCCTTTTCACGTGGATGGCACAATGCCTTACCTTTCACCATAAGCCACATTTTCCACTCTTTTTTCCGTGAAAGTGAGACGAAGAGGGTGAAAGAGAATGAGGGACGAAAACCTCAGAACATGATAACGAGTGAAAATCAAAGGGAGGGGAGAGTGTCTAGAAACTGATAACGGTTTTAATTTTTTTTCTCTAGGCACTCGATTTGTAACCGATATGAATCCAGTTTCCTTCGACGTTGCTATCTGCTCTTCGTAGAATAAACTTTTGCATAAACTACGCTTTTTTTTTTAATGTCTAGCTACATGGGTCGGCGGTGCTTTTATTAATGGAACTGCAGAAGCAATGTATACCAAAGGTTTGGCTTGGTGTCAAGTCCCCATTGGCTACAGTCTTAGTCTATTTTTCGGTATGTGTTTTATAAAAAATTATCCTGTAGAAATAATGATTTTATATTAATTTAATTATTTATATTTATAATCTTCAGGGGCTATACTTTTCGTGAAACCAATGAGAAAAGCTGAATACGTCACTATGCTGGATCCTTTTCAACAACGTTATGGCGCTCGGGTTGGTGGTTTGCTGTTTCTACCAGCACTTTTCGGCGATCTCTTCTGGTGCGGTGCTGTTCTCAGTGCACTGGGAAGTTCACTCTCGGTGGTGGCTGAGATAGATCCTCATATAAGTGTATGCGTTTCGGCATTTCTGGCGGCCATGTGAGTATTCATTGGTAAATTCCTGAAAATGTTTCCGTAACAAATTCCCAGGGGACTTCAATTGCCTCGTTCTTGACAAAGTTCAAGGATCGTACCAGGAGCATTGTTCGCTGATTGTTCCTCCCGGGACAGGATACTTCCGCCAGTTTCGATGATCATTAGCAGTCGGTATTTTCAATAGAGCGTGGAATGCATTCTCCGTGCATAACGAAGTATATCGGAATATTCAGATACAGTCAACTCTACCTATGGAGGCGCTCGGTATAGTCGCGTTTCCCCTCAGCTCTCTTTCTAAGTTATCGCGCCGAGAGGGGAAGGCTTCCCCTCCAACTCTTCTGTGCCTCTCAGCAAGCGTGTTATCCGCGCTCTGTCGAAGACTCGGTCTATTACAATGGAGTGAGGGCTGTTTGTAATATCGCCCTCTCGCTAGTTATCGCGTCTCAGAGACTCGGGTGCGCGATTATACAGACAGTCGACTGTATATTCAATAGGAGGTGAAATATGAAATACGGAGATTCTGAAGGAAAGTAGTGAGTTCGTTAAACGACTCACTGACTTAAAAATAAGTGTTTACTATTCTTTGCTATAACATCCGTATCCATAGATGGTACAAGCGTGTTTGAATTCCTTGAATATGCTGATGAAGCAGAACACATTGTAAATAAGGATTTGCTTGACGTTTGAATACGATTAGGATTGAGCTATGGATTTGGAGATTTGAATAAATATGGGAATGCTTGTTCAGAGGTTGATGTTACATCAAGGAATTTTAAAATGTTCATTCGTGTTCACAGTTATACAATTTTTGGTGGGCTGTACTCTGTGGCGTGTACCGATGCCTTGCAGCTGGGATGCATCGCCCTAGGACTAGCAGTTGCGACACCTTTCGCAGTGCTGCACCCTGCCGTGTCCCTTGAGAACAATATATCGCGGAAGGATTGGCTTGGCGAAATTCAAAATGAGGATCTTGGCGAATGGATTGATGGGATGCTTTTGTTAATATTTGGTGGTATACCTTGGCAGGTGATTATACGTTTTTTATAACAATTTTTAACTTAACTTTTTGAATTACCTTTTTTTTTTATTTTCATATAGGGATATTTCCAACGGATTCTTAGCATAAAGGGAGCTAATATTGCTAGGACACTTTCTATTGTCTCTATGTTTGGTTGCATTGCACTAGCACTACCTTCTGCATTGCTTGGGACTGTTGCTAAAGCTACGGATTGGACTTTGGTTGAGGGATACAATCGCACTTATCCTCCTGAAGACGGGTACATTGTTCTACCTGCGGTACTGCGGTATTTGACACCTCAATGGGTATCCTTCGTAGGTAAGATATTATTTTTTTAATTAAATATTTTTAGAAATTATCTAAAATTTTTTTCATTAGGTTTGGGAGCCATTTCTGCTGCTGTTATGTCATCGGCAGACTCTAGTATTTTAGCTAGCAGTTCCATGTTCGCCAGGAATATTTATAGACTGACTATCAGACCAAAGGTAATTCAAGATATTAAAGAAATTCATTCTAACAAACTAATTTGCCGATCTTTCAGGCATCGGAAAGAGAACTTAATTGGATTTTGAAAATTTCTGTTCTGATTGTCTCCTTCCTCTCGGCTGCAGTCGCCCTGACTGTAAACAGTGTTTATTGTTTATCGTGAGTATAATTATAACTTTGGTATCAAGGGGTAATCATCAAAATTAGCATTGTTTTTTTATCATTTATTTTATATTCCCAGATATCTATGCTCGGATCTGGTCTATGTGGTTTTATTCCCTCAGCTGCTCTCTGTAGTTCACTGGCCATCATTGGTGGATACCTATGGATGTCTAGCAGCATACGTCGTTGCCATTGCCCTACGAATTTCCGGTAAATTTATCAAAAGTAATACGAAAAAGAATTGTTAAAGATACGAAAAAAATTAATTTCTTTTAGGCGGTGAAAAGGGTCTTGGACTTCCTCCACTGATAGAGTACCCATTCTACGATATGCATACTCAAACGCAAAAGTTTCCATTCCGCACGGTGGCAATGCTGACTGGTCTAGTAGTTCAACTCGTGGTTAGTTTTTTCACAAGAAATCTTCTCGGCAAAGGATATTTCCCAAGATGTTGCGATATCCTTGGCGTTTACTCGCCCAGAAAGTCAAAGGACCCAGCAGGAGTGGTCCAAAGTAGTTCAGGAGCAGCCCTGATAGATTCAGTCGGCAACGTAAGTGTCGTATTTAGTTTTTCACTCAGGAACCTATACTTGTGAAGTTTTAATGAATAAGATCCTTTCTAATTCCTAAGTGCATCAAAGTTTCTATTTTATAGGGACCAACCAGCGGTGGAACGTCAGCTACCACTCCTGAAGATAACCGACCTGATTATAACGATGTGGTCGAGGAAATCGAGCATTACGAGACAGTGAGTGAACTTTATGAAACGACCAAGGCAAACAATACTGAAATGGTAGTTCAAACAGCAAACCAGAGTCTAATGAATTTGCAAAATTTACAAAGTATCGTACAATCGTCTGGTACATGTCGACCAACAGTGCCACATCCACCTAATAATATAGGAGCTCAAATTCTGGGCGTGAAAAATTTAACAGCATCCTTGGGACCATCCGTACTACCGAATAGTCATGGGAATCCTGTCGGTACTGGTACCCTTAAATTCAAAAATTCGTCCTGCACGACAAACGGCGTCTCGTATTCGAAATTATCGAATATCGAAAAAGCGCGTGAGAACGAGAAAGTCATCGACAAGAGTATGATGGAATTGAACTTGAATTCTCAGGAACCGAGTATCATGAAAAAAAATATCAAGGGTGTCAAGTTAGTTGGAATGGAAGGTGGAACCTTGCGAAGACCTTCTCTACAGGTAATTACAGAATTCTATAATTATACGCAGAAGTAATCAAGTATAAATATTTTAGGGCACTTTCTCACCTACGCCGTCGGTTGAATTGGTAAACATTTTGGACAGAAGACAAAGTAGTAGCTCGTATGGGCCTAGTTCATTATCCCCTGTACCAGGAGTCGAAGCATGTAAAACTCATGGAACCGCTATTGGAGGTCAGGGTGGTAACGAGCATTGCAGGATTAAAAGAGGAATTGTCAGGCATCATAGGTACTATTTCATTGTAGCTTCATTGTCGTCCGATCAAATGGAATATCTAATTAAGATTAATTCATCTCATACAGCTTCAATGATACTGGTGATCGGGCTCTAACTACCCTTGCTAGGCAACCAACTTATCCGTCAATGCCACTACGCTCAGAAGACTGTCGCTTGACTCTGGTGAAAAGAGAAAAGAAACCATCTGGTATCGTACGCCATTCTTCAGTTGCAGACGAAAAGGGACTTGGTGGCTGTGGGATTGTAATCAGTCCTACTTACAGTATGTACGGTTCGACAATTAAGAATTGCAATTATTTTGTAGCAGACGACGAAGCAGTGAGCAGATTTTAAGCAAAAGCATCGACGCACGTCCTGTAGGGACTATAGCCACTGGCTGAGTTTAACTTGTAATATCTTTTTACTTGTTCTAAACAATTACTTTTCACGCGGCAATTTATACTTAAGAAATTTATTCGATGTATATAACTGATCTTAGGTAGGAAGTGTATGGTAAGTCAAGTATGAATAGCGCCAGGCCCGATTGCTGTCAAAACAATGGAAGAAAAGATTAATAAAAGGAGAGAGTTTTGCTAAAAAGTAAAAAAAAAAAGAAAGAAAAACATGAAACGCGCTATCGAGCTTCCTCGAAGCAGACTGTACGGGTAGCTCGATGAGAATATCCACTGTAAAACGTACGGCGCTTAGAACGATAGAGGAATTATGTCCAAATATGTACGTGCAAATTTATGATAATCTAACAAATACGATATTTTTGCACCGATAGCCCGTTAGCGATAAGATTATAGCTTACCGTCGGATAATAAAAATAATGGGGAAAAAAGGATCTCTCAAAATAGCAACAACCGTAATACTCATAATACTTTGTAGACACATAGTTCGCGTCTCCGTGCTCAAATTTAATAAGAAGTAGAACAGTCAAATATACATTAATAAATATAACGTGAGATAATAGTTAGGGGATAAGAAACGAAAGTAAAGATAAAGAAATACATAGTTTCCATACTTGCCACTCTTCTACAAAGAGACTGAAAATTAAATCTGTATCGTACCATGATAAGCATTAAAATGTCGTTCCTAAATTCTTTTTTACCGTCATCTAGTATTTAGTCCAATTCCAAATGGAATGTACCTATACCTATCTATTGTATTATAAAGAGGAAAGGGCCTATAGATTCATTTTTCATTTCCAAAAGTCAAGTCGAACCAGAATTAAAAGAGGAGTACCTATTCCGTAAAGTCCATTGAAAAGACCTATAATGAATTTTTCTAAGGAGATTATTTCCTTGACGTCCACGTCTCTCTACCTCCTTCGTACATTGTCCAGCTCAATTATTAGGCAGCAACGTTCTATACTTTTGTGAAAACACTGTATGTACGTACATCTATGACCTGTGTCAGTATTATTAAACTTAAGTCTAGTCATAGAAACATAAGGATAGAAAGAATCTATAAAAGATTTTGCATGAGAGTAACGAGCGGTCCAATCAGGACAGGATAAAATGTCGCTCCTTTTTATTTAGATTGAAATGTACAGTGCAGTCGTATATAGATTATATAAAAGTACACGGCTATCTTATCGGCGGTAATTGTATCATTTAGATAGATTCTACATACATCTATTAGGTTGTAATCGTCAAAGATTACTCTTAAGTTTCAATTCAGACACAATCGTGATTGTGTATTGTGAATTATGTGCCAAAATGTAGGATTAACATATATATATATATATATATACACACGAACATAACTATAACGTATACATATAGATATTTACAATAAGATAGGATTAACGTAACTTGTATTTATCAATGTTCTGGAAATATTTTAAAATTTAATCATGTCACAAGTTTTCGATTCGTTTTTGCTTATCGTTTTGAATCTTATACTAATTGATTAAGCTTATTTATTAGCCATTAATAAGAATCGTTAAATAAACGTTTTCATTTTTAAATAAACACTAGTATTATAACCTTAGGACATTCTAGAAATATTGTTGACCCTAGGTCAGGGCCATCGCGTCAATTTGTTCGAATAGAATAATTCGGATTTATCCATAAATCATGAGAATTCATACTCATTACCACTGTCATACACATTCTATAATAGCTTGGACGATCAATGGTAACAATGCAAATTATTATCTAGGTAAGAAGCTCATTGTAACTATGAGATATCAGCAATGATTTTAAATCGCTGACAGACTCTAGGGTCTGCAGGAAATGATTGTATCGATACTTTGTAATAATAAACTTTGACTTGACCGTAAGTGATCACATGAGAATAATATTTATTTAACAATTAACAGCACCTTTTGATTTGTAAAGCTTAAAGGAAAGTTCTCAGGGATGCTGTTCCGGTATAGTAAGAAACTTGAAATTAATATTAAAAAGATATTATTTATTATTAAGCTACCGACGATTATCTTATTACCATTAGTACTAAAAATACTAGTAGTAAATATTATAAGCTTAACAATAAATTCCGTCACGAAAAACACTACAGTGATAAATTTCATTATAAGGTTACAAAGTAGACGTTTTCGAGGAATTTCTCTGATAAATTAAAAAACTGTGTATATGAATATCCTTTGGTGCATTTGACATTCGTATGCAGGATGAGCATTCTATGGAACAATGTGATGTAAATGACTTTAAGGATGCAGGCTAGCTTGATGCTGTTGCAGCTCAGCTACAGTCTGAAATACAGGAACTGGTTTACATACTTTACAAAAATAATATACCGTTTTTTTAATTTCCGACCGTTCCCTTGCCTGATTTTTGGAACATGAATTTAAAGTATCTGATCTCTCATGATCCAGCACTTGGGAATCTCCGTTACTGCGAAATTCACACGGTGAATATTGTTTGTTCGTGACCTGAGTCGGTTGCATCTGATGTACTGGTGAAGATCGAACATCGGCACGGTGCGAGGTTTCACTAAAGGATGAACTTGGAAGTTGTGGTGCAATAATTTTTGATACGATTTTACCATCGACTTGAAGGGTGTGTCGTACCGCATGTGGGGCAATTTTTCCATCTAAGTGTAGATTAATATGCTCTTGCATGAGGGTCGTGGATTTACACTTGTAGACATGGCACAACTGGCATATATAGGATTTGTGATGCTGTTTCATATGCTCTTGAAGTTCCACGTGGTTGGTGGTACGGAAGGTATGACATTTGTTACACACATATAATGGTTCGTTGGAACTTGGTCGAACTTGTTGATTCGTTACAGGAGAATAAGAACTGCTACGTGCGCCAAGTTCAACATCAGACGTTGAGGCACAGTATGATTTGCTTGGCTGTATCGGTTGTGACTTTGTATGTCGTGTTCGGTGCAATTTGAATTCCTCAGCAGTAGTGCATGTGAAATCTTTACAGCAGGGACAAGTAAAGATTAGTCCGCTGGATAAATCCTTGCATGGTTGTTCTCTGGTTGTTTGCTGCGAAGTCTGTTGGTATGTTTGCGTCGTTTTTGGTTGATTAATGAAATTAGATAACTGCGCTGGTCGTTGTGACCCTATCTGACTTGGCTGCTCAGGCAGGTGATGTATGGTATGAGATATCGATTGATGAGCAGGTTTTCGTGTCACATGAGATTCTGTTCGTAAAATTATATCTGATTGTGACTGTTGTAATGGGACGTTCAGAATGTCGTAGTTCATTGAATATCCTGAAGGTCTTGTACTCCCAATTGGCGCATCAGTAGTGATAGGCTGCATATCGTTATTAGTGGACGAAGTTGAAGACGAAATGGAGGAATTGGAGGGTTTCGCAGCAACAGATTTGTTGCCTGATTGACTGATTGCTCTGTAAGGATACTGAGGACGCATTGGAGGACGCGGAACAATGCAGTGAGAGTTGATGCTAGAAGTAGTGGTGCCGTTCATATTCTTTGGAAGTGTATTGGAATGAATATTAGTCGGAGCTGAGTAAGGGGGAGGAAGACGTGATGGGATTTGACTTTGCACACTAGGAAGATTTGTAGTATTGTAAGTTAAGTTAGTACATTGAGAATTTGAAGAGGGCGCCACTTGTTGATTCATATTCAAATTTACGTTGACACTGTTAACAGCACTGACAGGTGGTTCTCTTCCAATTGCATTTGAAGTATACGTTACGAATGGAGAACGATGTACGGCTGTATTGAATGTAGATGCATTTTCAATACTTTGTGTTTTATTATTTGCAACGGGCTGATAAACTTCGGCGTTGGTATGCATATTAGCTTGTCCTGTACTTGTTGTTGTCGGTTGACAATGAATAGGATTCTCTGTGGCATTGAACATTGTACCGCATATCACACAGGGAGTAAAAGCAGCGGCATTGCCACAATTACCTTCGTTATTAGCTCGTGTATTATTGACGTTAGTGGTAATTTCGGTATTAAAGTTGTTAGGAGTGGCGTCAGTAATATTGCTTCTTATTGGCTGTAAAGTTAATTTGTTTGAAGCTATATATTGATTGAGTAATGTTAAAGTATCCTGGTCAACGATACGCTGGACTATATTGACCAACGGTAGTGTCTTCTTGTTAGCCACTTGGTGAATGACATGCGTGTTTGAATGTTCTGCCAAATTCGCAGCAGACGTACATGGTAATCCACACGTTTCACATATGTAAGCTTTCTTATCACGCTTCTCCAAAAGTTCTGACATACTTTTCACGCGTAAAAATCCTGGTTTAGGTGTCTTTTCATTCTTTGAGCTACATGGCATCCCACCAGTAGAACTTGTTTCTGAACTATCCGTTAGTACTTCCGTATCCGTACTTGTAGCTGTGTCTTTTTCTTCACCTGAAGCCAAGGGATTCTTTTCTATATTAGCTGGTTGAGCTTCGACGATATTCGCGACTTTCTTCGGGGCGTTAGTAATAGATAGAATTTCTTTGAGAATACGTGTTTGCTGCTCAGCTTCTTCAGATATACATGACGTATTCGAAGTGTTGCCTGCGGGAGTGATAGTTACTACTTGTTTGGGTAACTTTGTGACTTCGTCTCTGATTATCAGATATCTAACTTCGCTTTGCGATTTTGATTGATGCGGTGCGTCAGATCGTCTTGCTTGAAGAGACGAACTGCCTAAACTCAGAGTCACCTCCGTATTTTCTACATGATTCCTTCTCGCGGTGCTTTTATCTACTTCCAAGTTTGTATCACATGAGGTCCGTGTTTTTGTTGAAGATTCTTGAGGCCTTTCACTAATTGCAAGATTCGTGAAATGACTTGACAGATGATCCTGACACCGTTTTTGGCAGTCGAATTGCTTGTCACATATTGTGCATGTGGCTTTTATATGGGTATTAAAGTGCTCCACTGCACTGAAAGAGACGCCACATCGACAGCACAATAACAGATTAGCACTGCTGTGAATATTCTGATGGAGCGTCAATTGATCTTCCGTTTCACAGATCATATGGCAAATCTTACAATCTGAAGTCGAATCGTTTGATTTTGCAGAAGAGGAGCCATCGGCCATCGCATGGCACTTGCCAACATGAATGTCATAATTGCTCTTATCAGTAAAAGTTTTCTGACAAGTTGAACATGTCGTGCCATCATTTAATGCATTAGTGACATTAGATATATTATTAATGCTAGAGCAGGATGTTGAATGATTTGTAAGATCAGCCTCAGAGCCAAAGGGTAATTTACAATGACGACAGACGTGCTCAGCGATGAGAACGTATTTAATGTTTTCAGCCAGTTTAGCAGCCTGAGCCACCTGCATTCTTTCCTCTGCAGATACGTTGTAATTTTCAAGTGCTTTCATAACAGATATCTTAGGGAACGAATAACGACTAGCCACGAAGAGAGGATTCTTTATATGACTGAACCAGTGTCTGCGAAATATACTTCCAATGCCGAAGAAGATCACTTTGCATATGTTACATAGGAAGGTTACTATGCCACGGATCTGAAGACGTGGATGCATCTCGAGATGATGACGCAAAACAGATAAGGACTCCACAGTAACATGGCACGCAGTGCAGTACAGTTTTGGTACCCTGCCACTTGTCCTGTTTACGGAACACTGCGCACTAATACGATAATGTGTCTCCAGGCACTCTTTCCTCCGGAAGACAACGTTACAATGTTCGCACAGTAACACCATTTCTATATAAACACTAGAATCTTGGTCATTTAACAATCCATTATTAGGATGACATGGGCATACAACAACTTCTTTCGGAGAAGTTGTCAAGCTAGATATAATCTGATCTTCCTTTCTAAGCCGTTTGTCACTGGATGGATCCTTTTTGTCCTTTTTGGACTTTTCCACATGTTGATCTTCAGCATTCTTATCTTTCAGACCGTAGAGGTCCAACCATACCGATCGTGAACGTTTATCAGGTGCTGATCTGTAATCCTGCTGTGCCTCTGACTGATGGGTAAATACGTGGTCGACGAATGCTTTCTTCGAGACAAATTTTTTTGAACATATACCGCAGTCCAAGCACTCTTTCGTATTACTGCATTCTTGTGTCGTGGACGACGTTGTGTCTGGGTTTGAGAACTTCTTAGTGGAATCGTTGTTATGTTGCAACTCCATGTGAATCTTGAGTGATCTCTTCCTCACGTACTTCCGGTTGCATATATGACAGCTGAGCCTTGGTGTTGTACTAACAGGTGTGATTTTCGAGCCCGATGGCGTTTGTGTGTTTTCCATTGGTGATTGTGTATCTGCTATTGGTGTTTCATTTGTATCCGACATAACTACACTATCAGTATTATCGGTACATAACTTAGAAGGTGATTTTTTAGGGCTCAATGCAGTGCTGGGGGAATTCGTTCCGATATTTTCACAGGTTTCTGATGGAATATTGAAATTCATTATCACTGACAATACCTGGATATCCGAATCCGAAGAATCTGAATGGCATTCTATAATGTCAGGATTTTCCACAATATTTTTAGGAGATAAATTGTTCGTGTTTTCCGGTTGGGAAACTTTTTTCTTTGCTTGTGTCGCAATAGTCGCAACATGTTCGCTTCCCTCCAAGGACGTGTCTTTAGAAATACCTGAAGTTTGATTAATAACAAACACTTCCGGAGTCTCTTCCCTGGTGTTTGTAGTTCTGGAAATAGGACTTCTATTCTTATCATCCTTATCTTTACTTGAACCTGACATAGACACAGATTTGATCGAGGATCCGTGTTCTTCTTCACTTGAAGAGGATATCCGACGACTCCACACAGATGACGATTTACGTTTTCTCACAAACATAACGATCTCCGAATCACTGCTGGTGGAGTCGGATCCTTCAAAAACGTCGCTGACATCATGATCGTCTTGATAAACATTCGTTGACACATAATTATGTATAGGATTCAATTTTTCTAAAAGTACAACTGGGTTCTTCCTAATGCCATACCTCAGTCTTAAAATACCGTCTATATCAATTGCTTCGTCTACTTCATTGATATAAACATCCGATTCACTATCCAGGCAAACTATTTCACCTGAGGACACAGATGTTTTTCGCTGCTTTTCAACAATTTCTAAATCTCTTTCGGTAGAAACTTCCGAAATTTCAGAACCAGAACCTGATTTCTTTTCTAGTGCTATTATTGGAATTGAATCCAAGGCGTGATCAGATTCTTGAGTCTCAATGCCATTTCTGCTTTCCTCTGTGAACACTGAATCCACTACTGTCTCTGCATCGCTGATTCCTTCTGAACCAACTACAGAGTCATTGTCATTATTCATTGATGAGAAGACATCCCTTTCATTTTCTAGAATCATATCCGTAGATTCTATTGGAGTATACACGCCAGACACGTTTTCTAGCTTCATTAATTGAATTTTTAATTTTTTTGGGGAGTCTGTGCCAGTTTTCACTACCTCTTGATCAGCTGCTGGCGAAGTACAACTCGGGGACTTAGTTCGTTGGATAAAAACTGGCCGTCTACTATCATCTTTTGTTGGTGTCAATGTGAGATTTTTCTGACTTCTTTGCTGTCGTTTCTTCTTTGGCGATTTTCTGTTAACAATCGTTTCATCCTTTGAATTTAATTGTACGTTTTTTCTTCTTTTTCTTGAATTCCATGAGGGAATCTGGTCATCACAACAATCCTCGTTACTACGTCGTCTATCTCCAGTAGTACTCTTCGTATCACTACTATTTTCATTATCATTCATTTCTTTTGACATATGAGACAAGTTCCCATAAGAATAGCAATATTCCATTAATATGTTACGCACATAATCCTGGTATCGCGATTCTTCTGTTTCCGTATTATTTTTTTCAGCTTGGGTACGCTCTTGTGTGTTCTCATTTAGACATTGGACCGAGGTTGTATCAACTTTACCTGTGTGTTCCATAGAGATAGGCCCATCTAATACTTTGTCCATTGCAGATTTATTAATAATTTTCTCAGATCTTATATATTCCTCAGATGCACAAGCTGGAGCGGCAGATGCATTATCATTTGGTGAAGTAAGAGTACAAGATTTCAGTATGCAACTTTCATCACTTTCACTGAGATGTGAGGTTTTATCAAGTACTGTCTTTTTCTTTTTCCTTGCATATTTAAATTTTGCACTGGCATTCCTTTTTTTTCGTTTTCTAGAACGGTAATCCCTAGAATCCATTACCAAATTTTTTATGCTACCTGATAGCTTCTGTGTAACATTCTTCTTAGGCACTATAAATTTCTTCAAAATGTCATTTGACAAATGTGTAAGTCGTATTGATAGTGGTGTACATAATTTCAACATATCTCTCCAATGGCATGTGTCTGATTTTAAATTATTTGCCTCTGTTTCGGTGTCTGTGGTAGCTCTAATGCTTTTGTTCTCCATCACTGCCATTGATTTATGACTTAAATCGTCAAGTATATCTGACATATTAGTGATTTCTTCAGATGGCTTGCTTTGGATGTCTAACTCCTCCATGTCGCTGAATAAAATATTAATATTGTAGAAGATCACTTTTATTGATTCAGATCAGAACATACTGTCTCACATCTCTCAGATTTATATCCATGGTAGATATACTTTCTAGATTGGAGGCCATATTTATGATGCTGCCCTGCAACAACATTATGCACTGAACATTGACAAATGTTTCACTAAGCATTTAATTACATGAAATAAACTATAAATGAACCATTCAACGTACAAATACATAGAACAAAGGCAGCCCTTGTGGACCTGAGAAGTCCAGTATTATTATATCTTCTATGTTTGATACGCACGTTACTTCCTTTATTGCAAGAACTGTAAAGAAGTATTTCTTCATTTTAATCAAGAAAAGTGTACAAGAACACAATGCGATAAAATGTAGTTGTTAATGCCATTGAAATACGCGCGAATTTTACTAAAAATTAAGAAAGCGTATAACACTGACATTATACAATAATTTAAACCACGCTATAAGTATGCTAATTGAAAAACCGCAATGTATAGAAAGTAATAGATTAAAAGTATTTATTTAATTAGTAACACTCAAAACATACCTAAAATCAGCAAATATTCTCTCAAAATCAACTCTCAACTAGTTTAGCATAGAATACCATTGGGATGTATAAAGAATGTCATAGATATTAGGTTGACGTTCGAAAACAGTTTCGTAGTCGTCGAAATCGAGCAATATTGAATATAAGACCGTTGATTTGCCAATTCCTTTATATCTATGAAACGTGACGAATGAGATACCTAATTTTACAATTCGCATCTTTCTGTTGTATTATTCACATGTTACCGACTGGAAATTAACTGGACAAAAGTAAAGAAAGAGTAAACTCTTGTGAGTGCGTTCTGAAATTCACTTCCAGTACTGCGAGCCGCATGGTATCCCTATTTATCTGTATGCAACTGAGTGAGATGTAACTATGCTCATAAATACATTTACACGGCAGTCTTAAACCGGTTCCGGTACATCTCCTCACTAGAGGAGTCAACCATAAGGAAAGGAAGGAAGGTCTTAAACCGGTTTAGTTAATACTGATATAAAGTAATAGACAAATTATAGACATTTCTACTTGTAAAAAATATTTGGGATTGGTCAATTTCTTTCGATCAGTATTAACTGAACAGGTTTAAGACCGCCGCGTAACGCAGTCTATGAGTCAAGCTTAAATCATGCCTACTTCTAGAATCCGTAGGGGACAACTGACCAATAAGAGATAAACCAGAATGTATTACACGAGATGTCTGGTGGTGACGTCATTCTTCAAGTTTTATTTATAAACTCTTGAACGTTTCTCGCACTTTGATCTTACCTGCTACTTGGACAACACGAAGCTGCAGCATCGTCATCGCCGGTAAACCCTGATTTTGATTAATCTCGTCAAGTATATCACTTTCGTTAGTATTATTATAGCTATGGTTAAAAGTTAAAATACTGTATACTATCTTACATTATAAAAAGTATTTTCTTTTTCAATGTCATATCAAAAATATTAGAAACCTGTTCGCGTTCTTGACACTCTTCATGGCGACCTGTCTATAAAAATCTTACGTATTACGTGTTTTAATTGCATGTGAAATAATATACCTGTGTGACGCACGTTAGAAATAATTATATGTGTACATTAGTACGGTACTGTAAATAATATGTCTTCTTTCTCGTATAAACAAATTTCGGATCAGTATACGTGTATATTTAGCTAATACAGTTTTCGCAAACCAATCCTTTTTTCGAGTGAATACTTTTGATTATAAACGGCAAATGAGATATATATACTTTTTTAAACTCATTCCGAAAGAATCTATATTTTATTATTTGAATAAATAGAACAAATTGAAGTTCACAATGATTAGATTATTAGATATTGGATTATTTGTTTTTTAGCATTTTGTCACTGATACCATTTCTTTCAATTACTGTTTCAGTTACGCATTTAGAAGCTGTTAAGAGAGAAACAAGATGAGTTTACAGTGGACATTGATTGCCTCCTTCCTTTACGCAGAGATTTTTGTTGTACTCTTATTAGTATTACCAGTAGCTTCACCAACAAGATGGCAAAAATTATTCAGATCAAGATTCCTGCAGAGCCTGAGTAATCAGGCATCAGTGTATTTCTTGGTACTCTTGGCTATTTTGGTACTATTCTTGTTAGATGCTATAAGGGAGATGCGCAAGTATTCCAGTACTGAAAATTCTCATGAACACGCTCACCTGGATGCTGAAATGCAAGGTAGCTACCTATGTAGGCTAGGTAAATTAATTTTATTTTAAATTATACAACAATGTGTAAATATAATTCTAGGCAGTATGCGCTTGTTCCGAGCACAAAGGAACTTCTACATCTCTGGTTTTGCTCTCTTCCTAAGTTTGGTCATACGACGTCTTGTTACTCTCATTTCAACACAAGCAACTCTGTTGGCTCAAAGTGAGGCTGCTATGCGTCAAGCTCAGTCTGCAACAACTACTGCACGAAGTCTTCTTTCTCAAACGAATTTGGGTGAAAGTGCCCAAAATGATTCCAACGAGGCTCATGATAAGGCTGTATCCGAATTGAAAAACCAGATTGAAGAGCAAGAATTAAAAATAAAAGAACTGCAAAATGAATTGGCAATCGAAAAGAAAGACAAGGAGGCCATTAAATCGCAGGCAATGTCTGTAACTAAGGAATATGATCGCATGAGTGAAGAGTTCTCAAAGTTACAAAAGGCTGAGGGTGGCGACAAGAAAAGCGACTAAACTTTTTCAGCTTTGTTATCGTTTGCACTATATGTCAAGTATTTCCCTTGCAGTTTTTACATGAAAGAAAGGTTTTGGCTATTTTATGTTACTAAGAAGTTTTCACGTTGTATAGTTTTGTTACCAATGGTTTAAGTTAGTGATCATGTTGCATTAATGTCCAGGACTAGGTAATTGTATATAATTATTGTTCGAATTATTAAACGCGTTGATATGATAAAATACATTGTTACCTAGTGCCTCTTACGACGCATTTCAGTGACTCATTAAACAATAATCCAGATTTTTTCTAAGAATTGTATCTATTAACTTCATATTTAATCGAATGGCATGTCGAATACGCAAATAAAATCATTTATTTTTTCCCTAAGGTTTTAAAAGTCATTCAATAATTTTTTGCATAAGTATACATCTATTTAAATATGTATATGTACAAATTTTGTCTGATACGACCCTTACTTTTAGCTTAAACACAAAGGGTTTTTTGATAATAAATTATTAATTTAAGGGAAGGCTGCTGAGTGTGAAATTCTGTGATTTTAATTGGACTGTGAACAGAAATTGCATTCTGTACTACTGAGAAAACAGAAATAGAATCATGTCGCACTTTAGTATCTTAAAATAACGAGTTTTCCTTCTCTCCAGGAATTTGTTTCTCTTCTCTTAAAACGTTTCACGTTAGCCAATCGGCGTGACTTCCACAGTAAGATAAAAAATAAAGAAGCTTAGATTTTCTCAAATTACACATAGCTGTATTATACTGATATAGTCGCTATCTGCTTATTCAATGCATATTACCATTCATTATTCTATGTATTCCAATGCTAGATTCTTATACAAGAGCATAATTTGAATGTTAAGCAATGTTATGTTCTTTTATGTTTACAGTTCTTTAAGAACTGTGTTACAGTTAATTTGTGCAGCATATAGAGCAAACTTATCATAATAAATTTTATATATTTTGTATATGAATATTTATGAAATATTCTTTCAGATATGATTTGTGCATCCAATTGGTTTTACGGTCCTATTACTTGTACCAATAATCATCTAATAAAAAAGTTAAGCAGTTTATTGCTGTCACCTTTCAATCATCTTATAATTATTTTGTATTGTCTGTATTAATAATAGTTGTATAACAGATAATTCGTGTTACTGTTCTTTTACATTTCCATGATTGTACAATGTAGACCAAAAGACTTTATAAATGCAACAATAAACATTTTATTAAAAATTGCTGTACAACATTGTTGAGGGTCCTCTCTGAGGACTCAATCTGCACCTGTCCAATATCAAAAAAATCCTTGACATTTGCTGTGCAGATATTATAATAAATATTTTATTTAAATGAACTGCTGTACAATTTTAATAGAAACTAAATGGTACTTCCTAGCAACGGAACACGCGATATAGAAGGTGGCTAACAATCCGCGCTTTATTAGCAGCGCGATGCGATCAGAGTGGTACGATGTTGGTCTACACAATTGTAGAAGTCCTCTACTAAATTCGAGCATTTCAGAGTTTCTTTCGGATGATCCTGATAGCATTTGAGTACTTTGTTACTATTTCCCACACATGGAACTACAGTGGATTTCACAGAGACCCGCTTACCACCTGTATAAAAATAGAAAAATACCATTATAATTTGACTTAAAATAATAATAATTCAAGATGTTACCACAAAACGTAATGAGAAAATGTCAACAGCCAAGGAATTTCTTGAGATAACTCACTATACTTTAATGATGTATAAAATAATAAAAGGAATTTGAGCTTGATTCTTGCAATGACCTATAATAACTAAAATAGTATTAGATCTATAATTTTCTCACTGTTCGTATTGAAGATTAAAGTGAATATAAAATCATATTACTTCTACTATAAAAAAGTACAGATAGTTGAAAAATATGTCATTGATATGAAATATCACCTTGTCCATCAGAGAACTCTTCAATAGCTTTTCTATACTCAGCGTCAAGGATCTGATTAATCTTTTCATGATTTCTCTCTAGGTTTCGAAGACGTCTCTGCCAGTACTGGTCCTGAGTATTAAGTTCTTTCTCCTTCTGCTGTTGCATTTCAAGGGCAGATATAGTATATTCTGGATAGTATACTGGATAACCAGTGGCTAATTGGCTCTCCTGAGCCTGAGATGCTGCGAGAGCAGGTTGTGGTGGATGACTACTTCTTACATCCTGGGTACCAGTGGTATTTTCGGATCCTTGAAGACGCTGCACCACAGCATTGGACACCTTGATGACACCAACCTTCTCCTCATTGGAAATTGTCAGCTTGCGCGCACTCTGACCGGAGCCCATCTTCGCGATCCTGGCTTGCTTGGAAACTAATTGATTTTTACTCGGGTGGTGCGTTACCTATTTTCGACAGAGGGTGGCTGGACTCAGGCGAAAGAACTGAGGTTGCAGGATCACATACCTGCAAAGCGGCTTCAAACACGAATTATCTTTAGTATCTCATCAGAGTGAAGTTATATAAATATCATAATACATGCTTTGTTGGTCAGTGATGCTCAATAGGATTTCGTCATACTCAATGGACTAGAATTCAATTATTGTGACCAATGATATATGTTTTAAAAGCTCATGACATTCAAGCTTTTTGCAATTTACTTCTTTAGATTTACCTTTCCTTTTTGGTATGACTGTGTAGAAAAATGTAATGTCAGAAAAAGCACGTCCAGATGATGGTTTCAACTGTTGTAATCAGCTCTCATGATAAAACAGTTCTTGACAAATCATTTTCAACATTGAGAATGATTGGTTCATTCAAATACATCTTTAATGGCGTACTGATTCAAAGGTACTTGCTCTTTCATTATTTTATTGCGAACGATGGATTTTTCGCAGGAAATTGACACGAAATTACAGCCGCAGGTATTTATTACAATTACGTACAGATATCTAGAAGTCATAGAGACCATGTAAAACTCAAATAAATGTGTGTACTTTAAAAATTTCATACTTATCTTTGTAGTTGTTCGATTTTTCGAAAAAACATTCATGGACAGAAGAATACTCATTTAACTTCACAAAGAAGTTAATAACAATGACCATTAGTACAATTATGCACTTACGGAATTATTTTCCGAGCAGGGAATTCACTTTGCATTACATTAATGATTTTCCAGTGTTAATTATAAATGAAACTTCCGAGAATCAAGAAGTTAAATTTTTCGTTCGAGAAATGGAAAAAGCCTTTGATGCGATGGAAAAGAAATACGTAAAGCGTACATTGCACTCGTGAATATTAATGTACATACATACATATATTAAACATATTTTTGCATTTCAGTTGCGAAGATTGATTCTCTTCTTTTACGTTAAGCCCAAGGAAAGTGAAGAAATAAAAACATTGGAAACGTACGCATTGTCATTGCGTTACGATAATGGCTTTACAGGCAATACTCTCCACCAAAATAGTAAATGTGATATAACAATGTTAAACTTGACAGATACAGAGGAAATTATATCTTCAACAATAAAGATGCTGAATAGTTGTATGATATTGACAAAAAATCTGATAAATGTAACACCTGAAATTCAAGCATCGTTGAAACTCCTTTGTTATGGATGTAAGTTTATGAATATTTTTATTTGCTAAATTTTACAAAATAAATATTATTAAATTAATTCAAACTTTTCAGATACTCCGATGAGTTACATGAATGCAATTGGTGAATCCGCAATTTCAAATTTTCGAGATATAACGGATGAATGCAGGTGTCCCAAAAATCCAATATTAAAAGCACCTTTTCATAAGATTAAATTATCAATGAGCTATGCGGTATGATTAATGATTAATAATTAATGCTATTATTAAATGTCTATATTATCAACATTATCAAATTTATTCTCTCAGGAAGAACAATATCGACGATACATAGATAGAGTATGTTGCGCCTGCAAATCTCTCGGTGGTTATGGTAGTACTTTACGCTGTAGAATATGTAAAACATTACAACATGCTATTTGTTACAACATTTATTCATCAGATTGTAATAATACGAATCATATCTGCATCACTTGCAGCGATTCTAACTTAAATTGTACTGATACTACTCTAACTATTATGCTGCCAAAAATGAGAGAAGTACGCATAATTTTCGTCATATCAAATATATTCTACTAATAGGTACCTAACAATTGTTACTTAATAGGAAGTATGCGTGATGCGTCGTGTATTGGCTTTTATGAATACCAAAGACGAAATTTCTGAAAAACTGGTGAGGACAGAGCTTGATTTGTCCAATAGACAATTTCTAGAAGTGTACAACACGCTCAGCTTCAATGAAGTGATACACACTTCAGGCAATAAGTAATTCTTTTTTTTTTTTGAAAAACACATCTACAGTAACCATAATATGGTGTTTCATATGTTAAAGAGATGAAGAGGAGACAAATTGGATTGTTAATAAAGTAAGATGTCGGGAGACACTTCAAAGGTATTTCTTACAAAGGTACTGCCTATAGGGAAAATATTTTTAAAAATTAATGTAAAGCTGAAATAAGTAGAAGTTCATGATTAACAATAAATTAATTATTTATACTCTAAATTGTTCTGTGACATATTTTAGCTCGATGGTCTTTGCCCGTTAGTCGTAGCCTGTTATCTTTACTGCGCAAGGTGTTAAGTCGTACGGTTTTGTATACAGGTCTGAGCACTTAGGCGAAAAACGCGTGACGATAAGGTGGCCACTGCCGAAAGAGGCGTTAGTGTTGAAATAGCATAGCATCTGCTAGCTGCGCTATGTTAGCATATGATGTCCGCAATTCAGCAGGCTTCTTCGACAGTAGCGCTTATGGGCAAAACCGGTCACATTAGAGGTTACAAGTGGATACAAGCTACAACGTGGTGAGGGTAAGGAAATGCCCAGACCTAGGATACAAGACCGTGCTCTGGTTACAACTCTTGTGTGCTCTTGTGTCAGAGCATCTCTGTTTGGGCTCCAATTGCTTTCATGTACCCGGTTGGTTATGTTCATTGGTTAAAAAGTTGAAAATTAAAGAAAACCTACAGCTGACACTTGGCAATTCAATTAAAACCATAATGGCAGCATTGGGAAATATTATAACATCGTCATTACAAAGCGCCAAACAGATGTTGATTATTTCAGAGTCAGTAAGCTGGAGTAAGTGATATATGGTTGTATTTATGTCGGATAGGTTGTATATGAATGTTTTTGTTACATACAAAATAAAATTTCATTTTTCTTCTTTAGCAACTGTTAGAAATGCTTCTAAGAAAACAGGTGGAAGTACCCGGAATAAGGGGGGTCATGCCAGACCAAAACATAGAGGGTGGCGCGTTCAGGATGGACACTTCGTTCAAGCTGGAACAATATTAGCTACGCAATTGACAACTAGATTCCATCCTGGGTTGAATGTATGTATCTGTTAAGGAAGACTATTAAACTATTAACTTATTGTTTTCTTGTGATTAGGTTGGTTGGGGAAGAAATGGAACACTGTTTGCACTTGAAGCTGGAAAAGTCATGGTGACGTGTGAACAAATTGATCCAAAATGGGAAAATTCTTGGGTTCAGCGAAATTATAATGATAGAATGGGACAAAAAATATATAAAAAACATTTCAATGTTATCCCAGCGCCACAGCATCACGTGTTCAAATTGATTGAAAAAGTTTAATTAAATATATAAATAATTAGGAACTGGAAATGTATTGTTTATAGGTAATAATTAAAGCATTAAAAAGCAGAGACATATTTTTATCTTCCTACGATACATTCGATGCTGCCCACTGAAAGGATTGATATTTTAGGTCATTTCCATTTTCTGAAAGTGTAGCAAAGACTTGGGTTTTTCTAACATGACAGCCTATGCGACACTGTCCCACAAGTTCAGGAATGGACATTTCTTCATTTCTGTCTTTACATTGAATAATAAACTGTGAATGGAACATAATAGGATCACCTGAAAAAAGATAGTGAAATGATAATTTCAAAATATCTCAAACAAAGTTAAGACTGAAAATTTGCAAACCTGGATAAGCTAAAAAGTCACCACCAAATTTTTCTCCACTTGTAATATAATATCCTTGCTCCCAAAGATCCTTGTATGTTTTATACCTGAGGATTTCTTTAGACAATGTGGGATACTTCCACTGTACCACTTTAATATCTTCTTCCTTCAGCCATGGATCAGCTAATAATGTGAATGAATAGTATAATTCTTTATAGTAATATAAAACAATATAGTCGGCGCAAGGACCTCACCAGTATGAGTCTGTACAAGAGCTTCACTTTTTTCGAGCTTAGGTAATTTAGCCATTTCCTCGTTAAATAAGGCTTCCCTGTTAATCTCGATCTTTTTTAAGGATTCCTGTTTTTCCATATCAAGGGGTTTTCTCATTTTCTTTTTTCCTGTATTGATGCCAAGTAATTTCCTTTTCTTTCCTTCTACTATTCTGTCCATCATTGTCATTATCTAAGCAATAGTACATATTAGCAAAAAAATATCTTTTATATCCAATTGCAGTACCTGCTCTTTTCTTTCTTTCCGCAAACATTCTTCTTGCTCAATAAATAATCTATCTCTATATTCTTTGAAAACCATCTTCAATGATTCAGTTGGTGGTTTTTGCAAATGTGGATAAGAAACAATTCGAGCAATGCTCTTTTCAAGCAAGAGCGTAGCTTCCTCTGGTAATAATAACATAGGTAGTCCCATAAATACTTCTTGTCTTGGTAATTTAGGAAGACAGCCTATTAACTCTCCAATTACTCTATGATCACGTCGTAATGTCAACCAATCTTGGATAATAGAAAAAAATGCAAATTAATATCATAAACTTACTGAAATAAAAAATTTAATTATTTTAAATCAATCCAATATACCTGTGGCATTCCACACAAAAACACTACCCTTAGAGAGCACCAAATCGATTACTTCTGTCATATTGCTTTTAGAGCATAAAGTACTAATAAATTCAAGATATCCCCCAGACAACAATGATTCAACCTAGCAATTCTCTAGTGTATATACAATCTGGGACCTATAGTTGATCTACTTTTCATTCAGATGCGGGTATAGTATAAAAGTCGGATACCAAAGAAAACGATCAATCCGAAGAGATACTTTTAGTAACGGACAATTGATGCTCGTACATACAATGTAATTAAATAAATAGTAAAACATTAGAGGGGAGTGGATAATTGATAATAATAAATAAATGATCAGTGAAGTAAAAACATCTCGTGCTGTCTATCGTGAACGCAGCCGCGCACTATCAAAAAGCATACGTCGGAGGAAGCGTAAATATCGTCGTCTAGTGCGGAAAACTTCAAGCGTTATGGACGAATTGTTTCCAAAAAATTAAATGCGGCAACGTTCGATCGCGGAATTCCGGAATTAAAAGGCTGGCAATGCGGCTATTGACGCTGCGTGAAATCGAGAATTCACGATGTAGAGAACTGTACGCGTTTTAAGCGATCGCTTCTTGAATGTTTTACACAAAGAGTGTTCCGACTGAACCTACAAATCTGTACACGGCGTAATGGCAGCCCATAAGACAGGTGGGCAAAGTGCCCGTAAGAAAGTGCAGGTATGTTTGCACCTGCAAGTTTTGACTTTCGTAAAAATTTATCAAGGGGCCTTCCACAATATTTCACGTCCCGTTATTATTCATTGAACACTTCGTAAATATCTTTCACGGACTGGATATCATACAAGAGGAAATGCTACTGGATTCATTCGGGATAACGTATTTTCTCTATGGACTCGCTTATTACGTGGATGGTCTGAGGCATATTTTTATTGATGTCCTAAGGATGCTCGTTTTCTTTTATTTAGGTATCTTTTGTTATACGAGATGAAGTCGAAAGGCGACATAGGGCAGGTGTCAATTCGCTTCAATATGATCCAGCATTGCACAGGCTCTATTCTGCTGGTAGAGATAGTATAATTAGGATATGGAATTGTAAGAACATGAAGGAACCTTATATACAATCTATGGAACATCATACGGATTGGGTGAATGACATTGTTCTATGCTGTGGTGGAAAGAATCGTATGTAACTCCATAATATAATTTAGTACTGACACTGTGCTTTACTTAGAATATTTATCTTTCTGTATGCAGTTATATCTGCGAGTTCTGACACAACTGTAAAGGTATGGAATGCACACAAAGGTTTCTGCATGTCCACATTAAGGACTCATAAAGATTATGTAAAGGCACTGGCCTACGCTAAAGACAAGGAACAGGTTGCCAGTGCTGGCTTAGACAAGGCAATCTTTCTTTGGGATGTTAATACACTGACTGCACTAACAGCAAGCAATAATACAGTGACTAGTAAGTTTAGTCATTTCTGATATCCAAGAGTATCACTGTAATGCTTGGTTCATTTACAGCATCCTCTCTAGCGGGGAACAAGGATTCCATATATAGCCTAGCCATGAACCCACCAGGCACAGTGATAGTCAGTGGCAGTACGGAAAAGGTTTTACGTGTCTGGGATCCCAGATCATATAACAAACTCATGAAACTAAGAGGTCATGCAGATAATATCAAAGCTCTTGTGCTTAACAGAGATGGTACTCAGTGTCTCTCAGCAAGTTCAGATGGTACCATAAAACTCTGGTCTCTTGCACAGCAATGGTGTATACAGACTTTCAGAGTTCACACAGAAGGAGTTTGGGCATTATTGGTAGATAAACTCATGTTTCGCTCATTATGAATACTTTGAGGAACAGCTTGTGGGTATCTTCATGTTTTTCAGGCAACGGATACATTTAGTCACGTGATATCAGGAGGCAGAGACAAGAAAGTGATAATGACAGAATTAAGAAACCCTGACAGATATACTGTCATCTGTGAAGAGAAAGCCCCTATATTGAAAATGGCTATGACCCCTGACCAGTCTAGCATTTGGGTAGCCACTAGCGAATCTACAATTAACAATTGGGTAATTTTCTAATCATAATCAGTCATTAATAGTTGAAAAATTTATAAAATTTCTCTTTGCAGTCTATTAGTCAAAAAGATTGGCAATGCGGTGATTACTGCGTGGACACAGCCGGTGGTGGAGTAGGCGGTATTGTTCCACGCAATACCGAACCAGCACAGAGAATACTGGGTGGTCCAGCGATAAGGCACTGTCACGTATTAAATAACAGGCGACACGTATTAACAAGGGATACCGAAGAGAACGTAGCGCTATACGACGTGCTTAAAGCTTGCAAGGTAGAAGACCTAGGACGCGTTGATTTCGATCAGGAAGTGAAAAAGAGGAACAAAATGGTCTACGTTCCCAATTGGTTCAACGTTGACCTCAAGACTGGGGTTTGTATTAAATCATTGAAAACCTCAGCATCCCTTCAAATATTCAATAATCGACATTGACTTTTGGTATATGCAGATGTTAACGATTCATCTGGGACAGGATGAGAATGATTGTTTCTCTGCGTGGATGTCCGCAAAAGAAGCTGAGCTTGTGGATAACGATGCAGTCGACCAAAAAGGTATTGTATTTATCCTCATTTTTCTGAAACATTTTCCTCCTCCACATTGAAACTGTATTCTTTTCGACTTCACAGTCAACTATGGAAATCTCCTGCTACAAGCTCTCCTGGAACACTGGTGGAGGCCGCTTCACGCGGATGAGAATGAAGGCAATGGCAATGATGGAAATGGTCCCACACACACAAGAGGAGGAAACATTTATTTCTCTGTGCCTGGACACACGCCTGTGATATTCAGGTATTACATTATGACGTCATTGATATAATATATCCGTATAAACTTTGTACATTGACGTGAAATATATTACAGTGAGGTCGGAGGGAGAACGTTATACAGGTTACTAGTACGAGATGCAGCAGGAGAGACCGAAGGAGTACTTCTGAACGAAACTGTACCACCATGGGTAGTTGATATTGTGGTAGATAAAAACTTGGTAGACAAAAATCCTCAATTTATCAAAATACCATTTTACCTTTTACCACACTCAACGTCTGGAGTGAAGAGCTTAAAGAAGTAAGATGTCCTATATTTCATGTTACTGATTAAACCTACCGAGTACGAAGTTAGATCCGAACATTCAATGGAACTAAATATATTTTAGGGATCGCCTGGTCGCAAATGATTTCATCCAAATACGCAAGGTAGCCGAGCATGTGTACGAAAAGGTCCTGTGTGCCGGTAGCGATTCCGGTTCTGTCGCTGGCGGTGGAAACACAGTCTCAGGTGGTTCGCCAGCTGGAGATAGAACCAACACGGATTCGAATGCAGATAATGCATCACTAGCCGAAGAAAAAGTTGAAATTCTTTGCAACGATCAACTTCTGGATCCATCCATGGACTTAAGAACGGTAAGGATCAGATGAAGTACAATAATTTAATTAAACAACAATTGATACAGCTGTGAGCTTTCAAATTCAATTCCAACGACTTCCGGTTTGCAGGTGAGGCACTTCATCTGGAAGTCCTCAGCGGATTTGACCCTCCGTTATCGTCCACTCAAATAGTTAGGATCTCGGCTGACGAATTACGACCATCTGAAGTGTGCTTGGTTCTGTACCGCAGCGAAGTGAGTATATAGAATTGATTCCTGACTAAGAAAATCTACAAGAAAAGAGGAAAAAGATTCTATGGCGTTCAAGGCGCTTGGTAGAAGAGCGAGGAGCCTGTTTTGCCGACGTGGCTACAAGATCACTCCTCTAAACTTCATTGTTTACAGGATTTTTGAGAGCGTATGGAGACCATGAATTATTGTCAAGGAGAATTAAATACTCCAGATCTTTTTTGCGACTATTAAAAGTAAACAAAAAAGGACCAGTGTAGGAACAGTGGCACATCGGGGTACCTCTAATGTAAGGTTTCCATAGGCAATAATAATAATTTAATGATAGAGTATGGCTCTCCATCTTGATGGATGAAGTAATAGAAATGAACAACGCTAGGCCAGTCACTACCATTTTAATCATCAGTAACATTTCCATAGTCTTCATTGAAACTAGCTTACGTAGAGTTGATACTTCTCATCTCTGTATATATAAATAGCAAAAGAGGGGGCGCATAGTTCTTCATTTCCGTCGTCCATTCTTTGTCTTCCGGTCTTGAGTGATTTAACGAAATAGCGCAAGAGCACAAATGAACAATCGAGTTGTGACTGTCCGGCTTAAAAATTGCCCTGATTAGAAATATGTAATCGATGATTAGCAGTGCACTGTTCAATAAGTATAATCTTACACGGAATCCTTTTTGAGTCGCTTATGGGTCAAAGGTCAGTTTCTCATGGATGAAAAAAAAATGAATAGTATCCATACATTGCGAATGAGCAAAGCGTCGTTTGCGAGATAAGAAACGTTTTCTGCATGCTGTTGTAAGTGAAAGCGATAAGAACGAAAAAACCTATGTCAATTTATCCTTAATCAAATCATATTTCGACAGCCAAACTAAGAGTAAAGGATTTCCTATTGATAGTGTAGGAGATAAGAGTGTATCTGCCTGGTCTTCGACGCAATGAGATCAAACTCGGTTACCTGGCGTACGATTAAGGTGCAGAAAATTCGTTAATGATAACGAGAACTGCAGGAGGAAGGAAAAATAAATCCGTGTATCTAGGACTAATTAATGGATTTGATAAGCTTGAAAAATATTTAAGAAAAATCGAATCTCTTGTATTCTTTATTCAGATGTATAAAAAAGATAAAAAGAGGATGATCAGCGCATGATGACGAACAAAAATGAAGTGGATTATATATGTAATAACTTTCAGATGTTTCTCAGTGTCTACCAACTCGAATGATACGGTCAAGTTTAATCGGTAATATTTATTGATAACCCATTAATGGGGGAAAAACGTAAGAGGAAAAAAAATTCAAGAAGTTCCAGTCGTGACCACGACAGGGTTTGATCTTATTGGAGATTAATGGTGGATATATGTATACATATATAAATATATAAATAATATAATAGGTACCTAGATAAATTTATGTTACAATATCTTATCTGTTAGAATCCATAATTTGTACATATGAGTAACTAAACGAAGAAGATAACAAGAAGTGATACAAAGAAGTAACCGTCGACTGCGCTGATATGTTGGATCGCCATTCCTTTGCGCCATTGAGTTTCTAATTAATTAATTATTCCTCATGATAAACAGGAAGTGGGATTAGTTGAAGAGACCTTTGGGGTTCTAATCATTCGAATTGGCACAGGAAGTCAGTGAAATTTTAAAACAATTTCAATGGCGCCAAGGGAATCGCTGGCTAATGTTCGTTAATAATTTTCTGTCTATCTGTCGTTGTGATGTTGTGATAGAAGAAGAATTAATAAGAGGAAGAGAAAAAAAGAGAGACGAGAAATTACGAAAATTACCCTTGCGTGAATGCAATTATCGTATAAGGAAATGGCTACCAAAAGTAACGATATTTGTTGTTGGTTAAGTTTGATCTATTTTTTGCTTTATACAGGGTGTCCCGTTTATCCATGGCTTATTTTTTTAATGATACGGCACATCCTGTGCATTACAGTGTTACGTATACGAGCATTTGTTGCAATCATCTACATTATAATCTGTCGCCTTTAATGGAGTAGCTTATTAATACCGAAAGGAATGCGAAAACTATTGTTTCTAGATTAAAAGTGTAGAGCGAAAGGGAGGGGGGGGGGACTCCAATCTGATGAGGGCTTTTAGGTTTTATTCAGCGACAAATTACCGTATTGTCCATGATAGTTGCATTGCGTTACGACATAATGGATTCTATTAGAATTACATAATTAGGAAAGGCCAGAGTATGGCATGCTCGTGGCTGACAATGCGACAGCAGGAAAGTATATATGACTTTTGAGATAATTTAATGAACTTTATCAATTCAATAAAAAAATTGTGCGAGCGAGATGGCCACGTAATAAGCATTTTCAACTTTTTACTCTGTTCTTTTATGTTTTAGTGACTTGAGTAATTTTATCAATAGAATATCATCACGCGAGACGGAATAAAATTGGTACACGTGAATGCAAAAAAACAAAAGAGAATGACTATTGTTATTGCTTGCGATAGTTTTCTCAGTCTTAATTAATTTGACTTCTAAATTCACCGAATTAACGAATACTCTCAACAGCATTTACGATAGAACAGTAAGACAGCCTTCCTCATCCGAGAACCGTATTACCTTTGATAATAGGGAATAACGACAAATCGAACTTAAGTATCGAGATATTTTTTATTAGCAGATAACTAAAAAAGAGAATAATAAAAACTCATAGCGTGCATACGCATAGCTTGAGAAAAAAATACATAGGCGATGACGTTGGCTTGTTCGTAATGTTTATTAATTTTGACACACGACTGTATCGTCGATGCGAATCAATGCGTCCCGAAGAAAAACGTAATAGCGAAGAACACACGACATCCGTGTACATTGGTTCATTAGGAAATGGTGCCAAATTTTATATCAAACGCAAAAGAGTCTTGAGGATAAACGAGCCAACTTGAAGTAAATAAAGTAAAGAGATAACGACAGCAATTAATAGATGAGATGAGAGAGCGCTATTTCGTTTTGCGTAATCGTACAAGAATGTTCGACTCAGCTTGTGTTAAAAATTTCACGTCAAAATTTCAACTGTAGCACCGTCATGTTGCAGTAAACCAATAGAAATCATCAATGATGTACGACGTAAAGAGGAATAAAAAAGTGTAGAGGTATGCCCTAGAATGATTTTATGATTAGAAAAGACATTCTCAATAATTACTGTCGACGCTTGCTATTGTAATAATGATGAAAAATTAAAGAATGGAATAAACCAAAAATTGAAATCACTTCCAGTCAGAATGCATCTATTTCTTTACAAAACCAAAATTGACTGTGCATCCAATGTAAACAGAAAAGTGTAAAATGTCAACTCGACAACGTACAGTTTCATCTAGTCTGGTGTGAGTGAATGAAATCCTTACTTCGCAGTGTATTCTAATATTATAGCAAAAACAAGATAAGCAAGACTATCTTTTCCATGAGAATGTAGCGTCATTGGAATTATTCAAATGGGGAATTGACATGTGTCATAACAATAGTCGGCGTTCAATGTTATGTATCTCTATTAAAAAGTAAACCAGGGTAAGACGAGATTTGTCAACTGTTGTGGCAATTATTGAAGTAGAACTTATTTTAAAATAGATCGAGGTTCGATATGTCTGAGAGTACTACATGTAGAGTTTTCATATCATGAAAAAAAAAGTATCGTCAGTTTTCTTCATAATTCATTACTATCTATGTATTGTAATAATACCATGCTCTGTGGTATGCACACACCATTACTGAAGAATTAATATTTAAATAAAATATATAATTTAATATGTGATGTGTACACTCAATGCATTGATAACATCTAATATAGAACGCACCTTTTTATCAAATTCATTATCACCCACTACCATTATCCTCAAAGATATGGTCTCCTTGTTTAATTGATTTCCTGGATAATTGCTTCAACAGCCTCTACAAAGGATACACAGACTCTCGAAGGAGCTGGTGTAATTGAATTCTCATCCCCAGCTCTGTACTTTCCAGTTTGCACCAAGAAGCCACGCATACCAATTCCTTGAGCACCAGCCACATCATCCACAACGTCCTAAGAGGATATAACTCATATATCTCAAGTTGTCAAAAAATAACTGTAGTAAATGTGTATCCTACATCGCCGATCATTATAGCTGCTTCTGGAGGAATATCCTTCAAAGCTGCTTTGAAAAACGCTGGTGTAGGTTTTCCAATGACTTCTGCTTTAACTTTAGCAGAATATTCTAGTCCTTTGACAAAAGCACCAGGACCTAAAGCCAAACCATCTGAACGTTTATAGTATCGTCCTTCATGAATGGCAATGAGGGATGCACCATCTAGCAATAACCTATAACAATTACTTATATAAAAATTGTCCCTCAATAATTAAATACAAAATTGCAATAAATGATGGACTGTCGACCTGAAAGCTTTGTTCAATTCTTCATAATGAAATTTATCAGGTGCTAATCCGACGACGACTGCATTTGGTATGCCTTCCTTTATCAAATCTTCAAAGTCTTCCATCGCATTGGAATCTAAAAGTAACTGAGGATTCAATTGTCGAGAAATAATAGTTTCTCTGGCTGCAGCAAGAGAACTAAATATCTCATCCTTCTTGATATCAAAACCCAAGTTTTTTAAGCGATTATATAAAATACTTTTTGATTCTTTGGTCGTGTTCGTGACAAATTTAATAAGCAAATTTGTTCTGCGCAATCTACAATAAAAAACAAGAATATTCAATTTCAATACAAAATCCTGTAAGGAATCTTAAGTTTGAAATTTAAAATAGAACAATAACAACTACATATAGATATACCGCAGGACATGCGCAATCTGTAAATTCATAATGTAGAAATTTATAAGCTGACACTGTATACAATTGAGCATTAAAATAAACTCAAAAAGTAAACCTGTTCAATGCTTCCACGGCACCAGGAATTATACTGCTGTCAATATGTAACGTTCCACTCAGATCTATAAGCACTGCCTTTATTTTATTAGCCATTTTTTGGCGTTATTTTGCCTCGTTCGGAATGAGAACCGATAAAACAGCTCGTGTGCTTTCGCCAATCTTCGGTAAAGGGGGAATGCGTCTGTATCTCTTGAAACACGTGGTTGAAAACATGGCGCTATCCGCGAAACGCGAAGGTCTGAAACACGTACCTTGGTTCTCACTGTACGTACTATTAAACAAATTTATTCTTCACATGCGTTATATTCCTTAATTCAAAGAGAGAGTGTTACACTGAGGAGTATTTTTGTAACGTTTGTTTAACCTTGTTAACCGTTATCATTTCAGACAAGAATGGCTTCAGGTGTACAATCAGATTTATTCAAATGACACTGTAGAACAAGACAAGGGTTACAAAACTCTTCTAGTATGGAAAGCAAGGTATATATATTAATATTGAATGAAGGTATTTTATTAGTAATACAAAAAGATTACGTAGAATTGTTTTACAGGGTTCCAAAATTACCAGTTGGTATAGAATGTACATTGGGTCTGATTCAAGTTTGTCTACGAGATAGAGAATTAACTTTACGTATTGATAATGATGAAGTACCTGTATTATATGAGAATGACTTGTGTCTCATGTATTCCACTATGATAATGCGATTCTTAAATCACATATCTAACATAGGAAATACCAAACAAATATCACTTTTTCAAATAGCTAGGCAACTCAAGATTCCTGAATGGATAGTGAATCTGAGACACGATACAGCACACGGCCATGATCTACCATCTCTGAGCTCTTTGAGATTGGCTGCAAATATGTTGTTGACATGGCTGCATGTAAGTTGTTGGATAGGTTCGGTGTTAGATAATTGTGTTTATGTATGTTATTTTTCAGGATGAATATTGGGCTAGTGAAGCTAAAAATATGGAAGAGTATTTGATGAAACAAATGGAGGACACAGAAGACGAAGAGGTGGAGTCAGAAGAAGCAGAAGCTTTGAAGGATTTAATAGAACTGTGGGTTGCTATTGGCTTATATATGCGAGCCAATTACTCCTTAGTGGAGGAGATTCCTGATAGTCATTTACAAAATGCTTTACAAGATCTTCGTAAGTTCACGTTGATCTTATCAGCAGGAAAAACATATAATTCCCCTTCTGTGGCTGCCTTCAAGCAGGGGGACAGTCGGGACTTGAAAAGCACAACTAGCGATGTTGATGAGGAAACTGTATTAAATAATACGGATATTAAAAGTGATAAAAAATTTCAATTATCCACTGCACGAGGTATTCTTCTAACTGAGATGTCAAGATATCTAGGAAAAAATAAATCAATATCAAACAAGGAGGAACGAGTGCTGAAAGTTTTACTGGAAACTGAAGTATTTCTACCTCAAGAGGATTTTCTAGAAATCTTCAGTAATGGCAAAAGCTCAGACAAGTCGAGTGAAGACGATCTTCCATTGGACATGATATATTTTTGGCAAGACTTTATTCTGTTGTTGCAAGAAACGAAGATGTTAGAATCGACAATTTTGAGATTACTAAAATTACTCAATGATTCCACTGAAGATCATTATAGGAAACAAATGGCTGCACTGTGGATAAAAGCTATAGTTCGCGGTTTATTAAAAATGAAAGTGTCTCAGCATATTTCAGAGACGCTACAATATTCATTGAAAAAGAAAAAGCGAATTAGTACCAAATCAATGTCATTAAGAATTCGAAATAAGCTCAACCATCTTCATCCAGAACTAAAAAATGATCTAACGTTAAATATCTTAGGCGACATTCCAAATTGCGTAACAAATTTCGATTTTGTCACCAATCTAGTCCTAAACGCGAATGAATATTCTGCAAAATTTATTACGGTATTCTTAGATCTTGTTACTCCAAGTATTGAGCAAGATCGAAAGCAACTCTTGCTTGACCTTATCAAAATTTATATTGGAGAAGATATTGTCAATGGCGATGCAAGTACTACCGATAAAGACAGGATATACACCATAGAAGATTTTGAAAAATATTCCGCTGAAGAAAATCATCCGGAAGACATGGAAGTAGAAGAGATTTCTGAACAGGCAGAACGTAGACCAAAAATATTTGATCAGACAATCCGTAATACTAACTGGAAATTAGCATCACGTAAGTTAAACATTTTTCATGTTACCTTACATCAAAATTAAATATATTTTATTTTTCTTTACAGACAATTACGACTGGGGTTCTTGTCCAATTGGTATATTACCCTGGCAGTTGGACACTATGGAATCATTACCACCGATGACTGCGGTGACTCCAGTCAAGGAAATTAAACTTCCTGTTACAGATAGAGAATCCAAAATAGTACCAGGAATAATAGACATGAGCATTTTGAAAATGAGGAGTAACGTCAGTTGGGATGGAATTTTCAGGAAGAAAAGGAGAATCAAGAGGAAACGTCGAACGGAAGAAACGGACGTAATCATTAACAAGGCAATAGAAATTGTCAAAAAGCATCACTAATGTACTTTCCTTTATCACAGAATGGATATAGTAGGAGACACGTGCAATCCAATGAAACTGTGAGATATAATTGTTTGTAATAAAATTTATTTAAACGAGCCATTTCCCCGTGATTTGTTGACTATGAGAACTGCATAAATAAATAATAACAAACGTCGAGTGCCATGTAATCAGTGAACAAAACATTAACGACAATGTTTACCTGTACGTACGACATTAAACGATCGACGTATTGGAAATCATTAACATAATACTTTTTTTTACAATTTATTAACTTTTTGCTCTAATGCTAAAGCTATAGTACCAATATTTAAATAAGTGCAATATAATGTTGCACTATTATGCATCGACCTGCTTTATGTAAAAATCTATCAAGCTGCTAATAAATAACCTGTTACTCTACGGTGATCTACTGAACGAGGCAAAAAACAACAAAAAATTCATTTGCTTATATAAAAATATTAAAATCTTGCATTATCAAAATCACAAGAATCCAGGCACCATTAGTTTCCCGAAAGAATATAAAAAGGAAAGCATGTCGTGCACCATTTTCTTGGTGCACGCGTGGACTAATATACATTCGCTTGTTGTAAAATTAAGTATGTGACGCGAAATATTTCGGAGTAGTTTATCGCTAAAGTTTTAAACAGCGTTATCTTATTCCTCGAGTACTAAGAATCGTCAAGCGTATAATAATCACAGGAATATTTTATTTAGCCTTAAACCTACGTTAAGAATGGAAAAAACAATCGTACATGCAATAAAATGGCAGCACGTATATTAGATTACCTATAGTAGTGATTTTTTAGGCGAACAAAAGGCACGTCGCTACTTTGGGTAAAAAAATACACATTATTATTGTTTGCTTTACTGACCATTTTCTGGCAAGACACTAGTGGTGGACGTGCAGTACTCACAATAGATTCTAAAAAGCTTACGTAACGTACGTATCGAATTAACAATTAAAAGAAAATCGTAAAATACGCGAATCCCGAGTAAATTAATGCGAACAGCATTGATACGTAGAAATATGAAAAAACTAAAGACAACAATAATATTCATTTGTCTAATCCGTAATGCATCGCAACAGTAAATAATATTCAACCGATTCGATATATACGAGCTGTTCGATTCTTTGGTTTTTTTTTTCTTCTTTTATTCAGACGATGACTACACACGGGTGGTGCCAATAACCAACTCATAAAATAACGGACGTATCTCGTACTAAATAATCGTCTTATTGGAATAATAAGCATTATTATAAAATCCTAGGAACTAGTCTCCTGTCAATACCAATCAGAATGATACTATAGTTGTTCAACAATGTTTACCTTACAGGTTCATATAGGCACGATGATATTTTGATTGTTTGCTTTATCCCTTTTTGCATTGAATTTGTAATTTTCGTTCATCCGATATGTTTAGAGCCGCGTATGTGCGCGCGCGCGCGCGTGTGTGTGTGTGCATGGAAGAGAGCAAAATAGAGAGAAAGAGTTCCTTCACTTCCGTTCGTTATGATTATGCATTTAGAAACCTAACCATGTACCATTTGCTTCCTAGTAGAAACGCTATCTGAAATCCAACACCTAATGAAAGACTCTTCGAGAACATATCTCATTTTGTTTGCACACTGTTGTGCAGTGCCCAAAAACGTACAAAAAACTCCACAGAGGAGTATAATATAGTAACGCTAAAAGGAATATTTATGTTGATCAGTAGTACGAGTCTTTCTCAGTACTTCTTGAAGAGCCGCACTAGTGCCCAGTCCAAAACCATCAAGTGGTGTCCTCGCCATTGCAGCAATCCTAGAAGTCAAGCAATTATATACTCCGGTGCCCTGTTGATAGTTCTAAAGAGACATTCCAAAAAGAGAAAGCAAAACGACTTACCGGCCTCCGGATAAATTACAGAGAAACTTCCAGTAAGAGGATCTTAAATTTTGAGGCTCTATAATAGCAGCGTGGAAAAGTACGGCCGTACTGAAGCAGTACAAGAGAATAACAAACCACTTGACTTCCGGCAGCTTTCCATTTTCTACACCGCTATTCCACAGCAACTGAGATGGAATCAATTATTCAAATATCTGCTTTACATACGTAACAATCTATTCTATGCTCGATGCTGACGTTGATTTACCTGCAACGCTTTCCACATAACGTACAATGCCACTGTATTGTCGGGATACATGGAAAAGGCTACGCTTGCCAAAAGTCCAGCAGGAATGGCGTAATATCTCGAGTCCTCATTGAACGCCCTCCTCAGAGAACAAGACGCTAACTGAAGTAAAACCGTTAATAATAATTTACTTGACCCGCTTTATGAAGCAAGCGAGTTGACCGAGTTCGAATCGTGAAGAAGCAGTTCTGTTGACGCAAGTGCATGCCATGAACGTAATGTTGTGTAAGAAACTGAATCAAAAAATCAAATACCCTGTAGAGTCCAGCGAATCCACCCAGGAAACTAGCTAGGTACAAATTGTCCTTACGTAAAATGAGACTTTTAATTAGTTTTGGCCTCCTCAGTAATTGTTTTACTTTGAGAACTAGCTTCAAGGCCATTTGGGCGCCCAAACCGCATCCAAACAACTTAACAGTACCCTGTAAGAATGAGATGAAAAAGAATCTTGATCAAGTTTACATATAGTCCATGTTTTGTCGCTACTCGATTTCAATTCGCCAGAGCTAGGTGCATCCATATTATCAATTAACACGTTGACTGTCCCCATGTCTGGGACTGCAGCGTCCCCTTACCCCTCTAAGTCATTGGACGGGCGACAGCAATCAACGCGTTAGAGTCAGATACAGAATACGCACCGTTAAGATATAATGAGCGCAACTATAAGGATGCGGACAAGACGAGTGACTGCGGAATGACTTTAATCGATCGATTATCTCTTTATACACTTTGAATGATTCCCAGACGGCATTGAATATAGGATTTTTCGATTTCCTTATGGAACTACGTTCATTCTCCTTGACATAACTGTCTCTCGAGGTACCAGCCACGGGTTCTGTTACATCTGACAATACTTTATCACTCCTGTCCTCATTGCCTGGTTCCTCATACTTTCCAATGACAAACCTGTATTTGTATTATTAAAAATGTTACACATCACTTTTTATAAGCATACCAATGTTACTAAAACATACTGTTATAGTAAGTGCGATCGCTTGCATAAGAGAACAGTTACTCGCCTTATTATTTTAAATATCGAATCCTGCTTACTGACTTGACCGCGAAACATATACAATAGGATAGTTATGCTTGCGGCAAATATATAAACTTCACCACGTGGAAGAGTCGAAAAGTATCCCCTCCATACCCCCATTCGAAACAATGTTTCTGTAGCCTGCAAGGAGCACGTTACATCAGTCTTTCTAAGCTGTTACATATTTCGATTTAGATGCATTTTAAAAACTCACAATATTTGAGACGTAGAGGCACAGGAGCGTTCGCCTCGAGGGCCGCTCTATCACAATGGCAGATAAACTGGATAAAAAGGACGGAAAGAAGGAAACGGTCAGTATGTTGAAATTCCCCAGCGTTCCTCTGAAACAGAAATTTATGAAAAATTATACATTTTCTCCTTCGTTATTAGCATTTGAAAATTTGTATGCCATAGATGATTGGTAGTATAAGAAAGTAAATGAAGGATGTGTGTATATGCAAATTAAAAAATTATTAATGCTGCTATGTAAAGTATTATGGTGCTATATGTAGAACAGGATAGGAACACATGAGCAATCAATTTTGCTTTTCTTTTCACATATTCAATAAAGATATACCAGTTTAGCTTGGAATAGAATACTGTCATCACGTAATAAGTAATGATTGATGATGAAAGTATGTTATGTAAATGTGACGATCTATGCTCAGAAAATTTAAAACATGACAATTACATGTTAGCAGAGAAACATTAACCTTTATGTTATTTAGTCAAGAGTAATTGTACGCGCGTGTTTCGGTGTCAGCAAATACACAGAACTCATAAATTTATGTGAAAGATAAACAATTTTTGCGCTATTGCTTTTCATTAAATAATAGAACAAGGAAAGTACATAATTTATTAAATTGATCGCAGATGTATTATGGACCCTTGATACCATGCAGATAAAACTTTTTGTAATTCAAAGCTTAAATGCTGTTTTAAACCTTACCTAAGAGAACATAGAAACATGGAATATGCAAAAGCACTCCAAGACAGAAAGGCGGTAGACTGGAGAATGCCATATAGCGTACGTTTAATATCATTTTTCGAAGGCAGCTTTCCTCTCATCAACAGAGTGATCTGAAATATTAATATAACTTATTGTGGCATTCCTCCATTGAGATTACTTCATAACATATAAGAAATATGATAAGTAAGCTAATCTTTATCAAATAATCAATAAGATATGCTGCAAGCTACAATGTTTTGAAACTGATAATATCCACATTCATCATAGGATCTGACCTCTTTGTAAACTAGTATAACGTTGGTTCTACACAATTTGTTTAATCGTGTATTACTGCTATCTAAACCTATAAAGACTACGACTACACTGCTAAATACAACCTCTTCTTGAAGTTACCCATGCATCGTTTAATTTTTTTTACATGAAGCTCTTCAAGAAGCAGTCGTATTCTGCAATTTTATCAAGACTGACTTAAAAGAGATAGGATTTACAGCAATTCTTAATAAAACTAAATGCCTATTCAAAGACTCAAACTTTTAAAATCAGATAACAATTGTTTTACAACTAACACAAAATATATTTACAATCTTAGTATGGTCTTAAGATCAGAGTTTGATTTAAAAATTAACTCATTACCAGCTTATTAAAAGTTTAAGAAAAATAAAAAAAGTAATTCCACAACTAATTTTACCAATTACTTATCCTCAATGATAAAAACAGACTATTACCATGACCATATCATTTATCATTGATAGCAACACAAAGTCTTTTCTAACAAGAATATGTACTGTAGAATATTTACAGCAGCATTAATGCAAAACGTGCAATTTACAGATAATCTCTGTTTTCCAAAAATTCCTTAACACGAGACTAATTTCAGTACTTTCGGTCTTACTGTAGATTTAGAACGCAAAATACAGTTTCAACCGACAAAGAATACGACAAGAGTGTATAAAAACATTAAGAAATATAAAAGAACGAAACAACATACGAAGTAAACAGTGGAATAAATCCTGAGGGATTCTTGAAGCGCGTGTAAACCCAATCCTGCTGTAGCACTGACGCACGAATCTGTCCAAGGATGAACATAATCTTTACAGCTCGCAGGGATAGAAAATTTACTGAGTTGTGTAGGCATTTTCTTGATATACGAGGCAGTAGGTATGTACGTTCCAGTAGATTAATTATAGTACCGTACAAAGAGGCTTATGAGTTGCATGTTTTTTTACAAACAGCATTATTGTATCGTGAGCATATTTCGATTTAGTAGATTGGCGAATGAGAAACTCGCAGAGGGACCAGAATGGAAGAATAAAGAAATGTCGATAACAAGCTGGAAGCGAAATAGATAGAAAAGAGAATACTTGGAATTCGAACGGTTTCTCTCCGAGTTAAGTATAAGACTGTCAAGAAGGCTAGGTAGCCTCGCGTAGAATACGCACAACCAACCGTTGCAATAGTTCGCAAGATACTAATCGCAGATTGTCCCAGACTCATGAGTACTTGGTTGAACTGTCAAACTGGCTGCGATCGCAGCGCCACTCTTTGTTATAGCAGAGATGAGTAGGGAGATTGCCAATGAGCCTGTTTTTGGTGAA